GGTGATGTCGACTACATTAACTTGGGCCGAATGATTGTCCCCCTGGAGCTGAACTACTGCCAGTGTATGCTGGAGCTGGAGGAGTACTACGAAGTCATAGAGCACACCACTGAGGTGCTGGAGAAGCATAAAGGTAGAGGCAAATGCAAAGACACGTTTTACTGCAAGGGATCAGGCTGATAAACAGGATATTTTTTCAGTGAAAAGACACTTCGGAATGCTTTTCTGGAGAATATTTTATCGTTATTTTACCACTTTGTCGCCAAACTTCCCACGTACGTGGGGTCACTCATTCAACCCCTGAGGTGGGCAGCTGTGTTGAAACTGCCAGGGTTAATGTTGTGCACTGAGGTGGATTAATAATGTGAGGCTATCCTTCTCTCAGGTTAGTCCCAGAGAAGTAAATATACCATATGTTCGCAATCCTGTAATGTCAATCGTGCTGCAAAGGAAATATGAGGAAATGTCTGATGCTCTGGTTTTCATCTTATGTTAAACATGCTAGATAAAAGTAACATGCTACAATGCTACATTTGATTTTAGAACAAACTTCAGACACTTACATTAGAAGGGATTGGATAATCGTTGCATGCTGTACATCTCTACTGTGTACCAGCTGTTTTTTTTTCAAATGAATGAGAAGTAGGAAGCAAACTCCCTCTCCCACACTCACATATCCACATAGCATGACAGAGTGGAAGAAGTGGGGCAGGAGCTGCCACTTGGCAGCTGACAGACATCTGTCTCTTAAAAAAAAACAACCTTTGAGACATTCTGCTATTTCTATATCTCTGTCTGATTGGTCACTGCACAAGCGCCGTACATCGTCAAAATCACATCACATATGTTCTTTTTTCATTCAAGCCCAAGGTGCCTTAGTCAAATCAGATTAAAAAAGAGAGGGAGAGATGAACTAGAATCTCAAAATCCAACTTTAATTATCAGATTTTTTGTCACAATTTCAAAATTATTTTGCTGCCTGACAACACAAACAAAAATGTGAGAGCAGCCTTATTTGGAATTGAATCATTCTTATACTGCATTCAGACATAAATTGAATATTAAAGAAGTGTGATAATGTATAATGGGTCTAACGATGCCATGAATTTGTTTATCTATGTATGCTATTATCTGTACTCTTGATAGATAACTTTTCCTAAGATGAATCTTATGATATATTTAAGAAAAATATCTTCCTGAAATGGATATGTGTTGCAATTGTTAACTTTAAAAAATTCTTTTTGAAATCTAATTTCCCAGTGGATTACATATTTATCACGTTTTTCCTGTTCTTATGAGGAGGAAGGTTGTAGTAAATGTAGCTTAGCTTAGGGATGGAAGCCAGTGTCCAATTGTTTTTAGACAAGCAAATGTCAGTATTACGTTATAACCACACTTTCTAATCATGTACATAAAGAGTTGCAGATTATAAACAGAGAGAGTTATTTTTGACCCTGGTTTAATCCCGATTCCTGCACTGGCTGTGTATTAGAAGCTGCTGGATGCTACGGCTCTGTCTTCTGTGAGAGTGTGTGGGAGGACACGGGGTTGACATTACTCAGAGTTTTACAGCTGGAGCAGCCCTGGGAATCGTACTGTCATACCCATGGCTACTCATATAATCCTTGAAGAGCCTCACATGCTGGCACAGCCCCACATCAGAGTCTCATGAATTATGCCCTTCACCCTGAGACAAAATCCACTGAGGCAGTCTTTATTCCACACTCTATTCCTCACACTGCATCTTCGGTTTTAGAGTATATTTGTCTTATTGTGTGTTTGCCCGTGTGCGTGATAAATCTGTTTAGACAATGACACTGAGGAGATTAAAAGTCCATTCCTGGAGGAAAAACTGTCACCCTTCAGGAAGAATACTTTTATTGGTGTTCGATGGACGTTATGCAATTTATTAGTATTAAATTATTAGAAATCTAGATGTTAATGTGAAGTTGTATTAAGCATTGGAAACAAATAGGTGTATAACAGAGAATATAGTGAGTATTAAAATGTTTTTAAGCCCCTATTGGGTCTGTTTAAATTGATGCAAAGTTTGTCTATTTCTTCTTTATGGGAAAAAAGTCCCCTTACTCTGTCACTGCTACACCTTTTACAGAGTGTTTCTTATTGTCAAGTGTTTTTCTAGACTTTTCTACACACTTTCATCACGGTCTTATCTCACCTTTTACATGCATTCCCCCTGCTGTTTACCGTCATCAGTGGCATGTTATCTGAAGCTTATAAGTCAGTTTTGTGCTGCCGTTTCTTCCCTTCAACACAGCTGTTCTTTGGAAAAGGCGGCACTCTGCAGTGTCTCAGCTTTAGCCAGAGGCAAGAACGAAATCTGTTTAACTGTTGGCTGAGTGAAAATATTGCACAGACAGAAATTAAATGCTGAGAAACAGTAAACCATCTGTGGGTATCTAAACTGAAGACAAATGGAGGCACTGCGGTGCATGTGAGCACAATGTTTCCACATGTGTGCATGCCCATTTATTTTCCATCCTGGGAAGTTAAATTTTTTGCTGCTAGATTTAAGGATAGCAATTAGTTTCATGCCGAAAAAACTTGAGGCAATAGAAGCAAATTATATTCGTTTAAGACTGGAAATTGTTAGCTTGGTTCTCTCCATAGTGACAAATTCCACTAACACTCCTAACAGCATAATGTGTTGAGTTTCTTTAGTTCCTACAAAAAGCCTAAATACAAAAGAAAAATAAAGCCTGCAACAGAGGAAGAAAAGAAGTAGTGGTTAACATAGACAGAAGCCTCTTTTTCTTCAATGAAACAGTGGGTAATTAAGGAGCTATGGAAGTTCATTTAAAACACATTTAGCTGAGCAAAAGCATCATATTCCCTGTCTCGTATCTTTTGTAAAGCTAGAGCTCTGAATTAAACAAGACATGAGTGATATATATCACTGTGTTAGGGAATATTTTTAAAGTTTGCTTTGAAGACACACTGCTGATAAGAGCATGTAATCAAGGGTCAGTCCGTGTCTAAGCTATTGGGCCCCGACAAATGCACTCCTCATCTTGATATTTTTCTCCCATTTAAGGGAGTCTAGCTTATTCTTGTTGATGGTGGTTACTTATCACAGACATCATCTCTTCTTTTTGTGGTTTTCAAGCACTGCAGAGCAGAGGGCTATTAATACTCATCAAACCTTGGGGTCGTTAATGCTCTTTTTTCTGATAAAAAAATCTGTTCCTAAAACTGTGGTAGTGATTTTTTTGCCTTTGTAATTGAAATAAGAAAAGTGAGCTGTCATTTAGGCAAGGAAAAATGTATACACAGAAAAGCCAGTGTAAAAAGACCAGATGTCATCAGACAAATAAATGATTAAGTCATACATATGTAGTAACTAAGACATTAGTGTTACTAAAGGAAAGTTGTTTACTCATGTTTGTGTTTCTCAGACTGTGTGAAAGGGTATTACAAGAGAGCCAAAGCTCATGCTGCTGTGTGGGATGAAAAGGAGGCCCGGAGAGACTTCAACATGGTGGCCCAGCTGGACATCACTCTGGCTTCACTTGTCCGTCGAGAGCTGAAAGACCTGTCCGAGCGCATGAAGGAGAAGTACTGGGAGGAGAAGGAGCAGTACTGGAGCAAGCTGGATGCGAAAGAAAAGATAGAGGAGGACGCAGAGCCCGATAACGAGGGCAAGGAGGAAGAAAATGAAGTGGAAAGCAAACAAGAAGGATCGGAAAGTCCAACAACTGCGACTAAGGACAATGTGGTAGAAGAAAATAGCTTGTGTCCACCTAAATGTGCTGAGGTTGCAAAAGTGGAGCTTGAAGAAACTAGGGTTGTTCAGTCAGAGGGAGTCAAGGCTGAGGCAAGCTGCTTGACCATCATTCCAAACACTGGCGAGAAAGCAGAGGAGAAGGACTGGCAACAGATGCTGCGGCTGGTTATGTTTCTGCAAAACGAAGGAAATGCCCATATTAAAGAAAAACGCTTTCAAGAAGCATCTGTCAAGTTTGAGGAGGCTTTAGAATACGTGGAATCACTACAAAACAAGGTAAGGGATTATGTATTATTTCCAAAATGATTAATTCTAACCAACATCATTTCAGCCCAGTTAGTAAAGACAAGCCAAACATGTCAAAGCCACATGCCGAGGGTTTGTGGCTTGTGAATGATGACTATATGTCAACGTCGTCTTTGGTTTTTGATGAAAACTGCTGTGGCAGTGAGTATGCCCACAAAGAGAAGACCAGCGAGAAAGTGCTAAAAATGGCATCTATCCACAGAGATGATGTTTTTCCTTTACTCTGCCCTGAGCCACACTTCACCGTCTTACTCACCCTACTTTTCCACCCCTCCCCCACATCACACCCTCTACATTCACAAACCTTTTATCAACTGGTTTAAGTTAAAATTTTCTTTGGTCTTTTCGGCATTTCCTCTGTTATTTTAACCGTCCTTGTTCTGTTTTCTCATCAGGTGGATCCAGAGGGAGAGGACAGGGAATCACTGGAGAAAGTGCGTCTTCCACTAACTCTGAACCTCAGTCAGTGCATGCTGGAGCTCAAACAGTACCAGCGAGTAGTGGAGCTCAACAGCAAGCTTCTGAAGAGGCATAAAGGTAGCGTTTGCTGGCGTGACAACAAAGTTTGTGGCAGTGAGGAAAAAGTGGTAAACAAAAATCTCATTTTGATCAGAAATTGGAACTAAAGGGTTAGCTCTTTTTTTTGTACACCTCGTCCTTTACCAGCATAGAAATATCGAGGTTTGATGCCTGGCGCTCAGCAAACAGCGGCTTTACTGTGGCAATCCTTTATTTCTCTGTATACTAAGAAAACAAGAAAGCAAACGCTCACTATTACATTTCTTTTTTTGAATTCCCCTGGCACCCCCCCATGGACATCACCGTTGAAAATGAATTGTTTTCTTTTTGTTACTTACCATGAATTATTCATAGTTGAGGCTTATCTAAAATGGCTATACTATGCTTTCTTTTTCCCATAATTTACTCCTGAACCAACTTTTGCCTTCAACTTTTTCTTTCTTTTACCTTGCGTCTGTTATTTAAAATGCTCTAACCATGCTTTAGAATAGACTTCACTGCTTTCCAGTTTTATTCTTGCTGACCTACCACTCCTGGCGACCCCCTATTTCCTCTAAATTGGCTTTTTTTGTCAGTATTGTAAACATTTTCACTCATTCATTCTTGTTTCTGCACCTCCAAAGGTAACTTTAAGGCAGTGTACCAGAGGGCGCGAGCCCATGCTTCATTATGCAATGAGGATGAAGCTCGGAGAGACTTTGCTTTGGTGGAAAAATTGGACCCCAAGTTCAAACCTTTTGTGCGCCAGGAGCTGAAAAAGCTGTGTGAAAGCGTCCGTTCCATGCATGCCCACCAGAACAAGACTTACTGGGATGCAACAAAGGAGAAGTGGGGACCTGGCGGGAGCAAGGCCCCGAGCGCAGCAAGAAAGAGGAACGTCCAACGCGCTCAGAAAGCTGCGGGAGAAAAAACTGACGAGGGTGAGAAGTGTGAAGTCAGTGAGGTTCAAGAGGAGGGCGGCTCAGAGGAGCAGCATCCTGCTGAGAAAGAAGCACAGGGCGAGGCAGCCACCGAGAAAAATCCCAGGGAGAAAGCAGAGCGGAGTAATAAAGAGCCAGATTGTGGGCGGGCGAGTGGAGAGGAGTTTGAAAATGAAAATTCCGAGAGGGTCGTGGCTCCTGAAGCCGGGCCAGGTGGACCAGATAATAGTCCAGCAGATAAAAATAGCGATCCTGCGGCGCCCAGCTCAGGCAAAGATAATGTAGCGAGCAAGAGATCAGTGCGTGATAAGGGCAGAAAGAAGGTCAAATCCCAATCAAGTGGTGCACCGAACCCAAGCAGAACAAGTGGCAAGAACAAGGCCCCCCGGGGCAAGGCGAGTAAAAGTGGCTCCTTCAATACCGACCAATGAGTTGCGAAAGTAGCAATTAAAGTGGAGTCGCCAAGATGGCTTCATTCCACTCTGAGGAGATGTATGGGTGGAGGCAGAAATGCAGATATGAGTTCAAAATTGAGAGGACAATTTAAAACAATAGTAAAAAGCATTAAGCCCCACTCTGAGTTGAATTTATATCACTGCTCTGAATCCCTGCTGTCACATAAAAAGCGCAGGCAGACAGATTTTGGCAAATACAAAGTTTTATTTCTGTACACAAAGAGTAGAAAGCAGCCAGTAACCCACTTGTTTTTTATTACAGTAAAAAGCCTTTCTTCAGAAAACTTATTATACATATTAAAAATTTCAGAGAAAAGACAGTGAGAGGAGTTGGAGATCTGGACAAAAACTGAATAATTCAAAAGTTTAAACGATAAACATTTAAGTGTTGATTTACTGAGGTATATTAATGGTGAGTTTAAAAAAAAAAAAGAGACAAACCTCAGTTCACCAGTAAGCTGTGAGTGTGAATATATATTTATGTTTGTGATCAACGGCGTGTGTAAGGTTAGGTGACTCATTGTCCTGTTGTATATCAGAGGACATAAAGAAGTCATTGTTACATGGTCAGATATCCTGTGATGAAATACGGTGGACACAGTGATGGGGGTTGTTAGTGCGTCGTCCAACCACATGCGATAACAGCAGGCTGAACACTGAGCCTCATATTCCTCAGAGTGACTCTTGCCTTTATCTTCACTCAAACAGCTTCAGTAATGCTACTGTCTTAGTGCCAGTGTGAAGGGCCTACTGCAGAATAGAAGTTTGTTAAGGGATGAAATGTAGATGATCAAAGAGAGGGGACTCAGTGTGTTTCTCAATAATCAGTGCACAAACATACTGTGAATGTCATGTAACTTAGTCATTTAACCATCTTCATACTAAATGACCGTATCTGTATGATGGTATAATAAACATGACAAAGGATGACCTATGTGGGACGCCTCAACCCCTTTTTCCCAACCTGTCACTGCTACAACGTTTTGCATAACCACTAACAGGAATATGGAGACACTGTGCGTAATGGGTCATCATCATAATGTAATGAGACGTGTAAATGCCCACATATAAATAACACTGCTTGTCATAGCTTCTTTTTTTTTTTGTGTATGTGTGTGTGTGTCTCCCATGAGCTGGGCTGCTTGCTTTTGTCCTGACTTGTGAGTGCTCAGTCAAAACAAATGCTCAAGCAATGCTGACGCACGGAGATTGATGAGGTGATTAATAGTGACGACCTACACCGGCGAGGCTACGACCAGCGTCAGTGGAGGTGGACGTTTAAAAAAATAAATAAAAAATGAAGGGTTATTTTGTCGGAAACAAGGCACTCTCTCTTGCTTCCCTTAAGGCTATTAGCATTTGTAATTTGAACAGCACACCACCTGTCTAACTCATAAACCTGTGCTACTGCGTCCTTGGAGATAGTTCCCTAGCAACAGTATTAATACTAACAGGCAGCGAGTGTTGAGGAGGATGGTGTCAAATGTGAGCGTTGTGTGCCTGGAGCGTGAGTTTCTAATTAGTGCAGAGCATGGGTTTAAAACTTATATGCATGAGGTTAGAGAGTTTTTTTTCCAGTTAAGGGTGAATTCTTTAAGTGTATAGCTCTGTATTGTCTGTTCAAATTAGGTGGTATGAGAACAGAGAAATAATCAAAGCCAGGGCTTCATTGTTTCAGGCAGATTCTAGCCCTGCTTCTTGAAATTTCACATCAAAGAGAATCTCTCTATCCCTCCAGCAATAAATGCTTCTTTTTTTTCCCAAATTTTTCCTACAATCCCCTCATGTCTTTCACATCTATAGTCCCTCCAACTATGCCCACTGACATGGGTCCACTCAGAGCCTTATTTCAATACTTTCAACTCATGGATATTCAACAACCTTTCGCTTGCTCTGCCACTTCCAATGAACCACAAGTCTGTCCAGGGAGTGACAAACACCCAGACAAAAACACAAGCATCTGATGCAACCTCCCTTCCTGAAAGTCAAAGTTGATGGTAAAAAAAATACTCAGATAAACTTATTTTTAACTTATATATGTGTATATATATATTGTGTTTGGTTTTAAGGCATTAATTGACTGTGCTGATTTTAGATCAAAATGCACCTTGTGACCCTGATAAGATGAGGCCAAAGCCCCTCTAACCACACGTCCCTTTCGGATTCTGAAAGCAATTAAGCATGCTCTAGCATGGGTACCGACACATGCTGGGCTAATAGCTATTGTTCTTTGCAAAATGGAATGGAGGTATTATTGTGGATGATTGTGGTAAAGGATTGTGTTGTGTTTGTGAACATTATTCACCCCCCGGAGAGTCTGGAATTGGCCTAGCAGAGAGCGGGAAAGCTTGAGCCTAGAGCTCCTTCTGTCTGTTTCTCTGCACACAGCAGGCCTACAATACGATCCCACGGTGGAGGCCGGCACGCTCCTATTTATCGGCGTACATTTCTTCAACAAAATACAATTCCAGTCACGGTACAAAATGGCTCGGAACAGCCAACTTCTCTGATTCCGCTTGAGAGGTCAAACAGATCACCATTTCTAGGATTGTATCCGGGGAGGTGTTTGTGTTCCAGCATAGCTGGCTATTGATCATGTTTGTGAATCTGTGTATAATGCTGGAAAAATGGGTTGTAATTGGATGTATAGCAGCATATGATTGAGATGACTGATGGCTCAGGAGAGACAAGGATAAGAACAACAAGCAGTTTGAGATGATTAGTGGAACAGTGTGTGTGTGTGTGTGTGTGTGCATACAGAGAGGCTGTGATAGCGGGCACTTTGGCTGTCTTAAATAAATCATGAATTCAACCGATGATGCATCATTCTCACAAAATAAATAAACTCTTGTGGGTGCTGTTGGCTTCGGTTTGCACCGATTCGCCACACAAAATCTGTTGATTCAAAAGCTCCAAACAAAAAAAATAACCGTGATAAAACATTAAAGGAAAAAACAAAACAAAAAAACAAACGCTCAAGATACAACGCTTTGACAATAGGGGAAACCCTTCCTTTTTATGTCGACTTCTTGCAAAGTTTGTCTTGTGGAGGGTCCAATTTGTGCTCTGGACTGATATAAAGCTTCTCACCTCTGAAGGACTACACAGATACTGGTAAGCACAGTGTCTTGGCTGAGCTTTTTCTCTTTTTCCGACGTCCGGCTCTCCCTGCCCTGCTGCTAACGTGAGTTTCCTTTGGCTGAGTAACTTAGTGTGGTTGAAGTTATGATGCACAACCTGGCCAGAAGGAGGGTATCGGCGCGAGCCTTTAGCATGTTCGCATGAAAAAGGTTTTTAGTGCAAAGGAGGGTTAGCTCTGAGGATCACAGCAGCTGCAGTGTTCACAGGCCCGCTGTGTAGTGGCCTGACCTAAGTCACCGGGAGCTCCCCCCTCTGTTTTCAGGTACTTTTCAGGCCCCTCACTCTGCTCCTCCAGGCCCACTCTTGGTTAGATGTGTGAGGTGGTGCCTGAAATGAGGAAACGGAAGAAATTGGCAAAAGGGGATGAGTGCTTTTAAATCTAATAGCACAAGAAAAAAATACTGAGAGCATTTTCTTTGCCGTGACAAAGAAACAAAACTGTAATTATGATAATCCCCCTTTTTTGTTCAAGTTTCAGGCTTTGAATTGCTCAGCAAATCCCATTTAACTGAAGCGGTGCAGTTTATAAGGCCTGTGACAGTGATGCTCTCTGTCGGCCCGTGCCACAGTCTATGTGTCACTCTTATCTTCATTTCCCACTCTGCCGTTCAATCTCTCCGTAACCCCCCCCCCCCCCCCCCCCCCCACATCCCCCCCCCCCGCCCCCCTCCTCTCCTCTCCCCCTCTCCTATGCTGGAGGGCCATCGGGGAGGAAAGTCGGTGTGCTGAAGCAGCACAGAACCATGCGGCCATGAAGAACTCACCCGGTTCTGAGGGAAAGACATTTCTCAGCTGCTCAATGACCTCCTGGAGCTGCAGCACCGTGTCCTGCTCGTGCTCCAGATCATCTCCTGACACACAAACACACACACACACAAACACACACACACACAAAGAGCCACACGTCATGAATAGTTAATAGAAGGATGTGAAAGAAGGGTGTTTGGTCACACATTTTTTGAGTCGCCTGCTTATGTCAGGTCAACATTTAAGCCTGGCTGCACGCCGCTGACCTGCCGCTTCAGTGTCCGTGGTCTCCCTGCTGGCCGGCTCGCCATGTTGACCCCATCTCGACACAGGTGAAGACAGTGTTGACGGTTCCGATCCGTTGGCCTCCGAATCGTCTTTGGGCTGTTTTTTTTTAAGGGAAGATTTATGATCGATCAGTTCCAATAACTACTCGTATCCATCATGTTTTAGACCTTAGAGTCGTTCAGCTTCTCACAAGGTAATGAATGTGACATTTAATGGCGATCGGCCAGCCCTCCTCGTGTGGCTGCTTTGAGCAGCATTATTAAGAAAAGCAATTTTACTCAAAGACTGCAACACAAAAGAATATGATCACTTTGCGTCTCACTTTGAGGATGAAGAGAAGGTATCACATAGCGGGACTACAGGAAAAGGATGACAGTGATGGAAAAGGTTTCATATCACACACAAAGATGCCTAATGTCACATAGCATATTTTGTATTGTTTTTAGCAACACAGTGGCAATATTCTAGAGGTGATTCATTTCAGTGGCTGCAGTGAGCCAGGGAATTTTCTACAGAGACTCGGACAGATTCATACATTTCATGCAGAATTCAAAAGATTTTATTATCAGAGGAAATTAAGCTCCTCTATAGAAAGAGCTCAAATAGCATTATTTTTCTTTACCACCTCCAGTCCTTCCTACGCTCTTTCATACTCACGATGAAAGACTTGAAGAGGCAGAATTACGTCTCTTCTCTATCTCTTTTTCATCTTCACACCTCTGCTTTCTTCTCATTCAGTGACATGAATGTGCAGTTTAGTTGCTCCCAGTGTTACCAACCTTGTCATAAGGGTAACACTATAAGTAATCTGCTACTCCTCTGTCTGTCTTTGTTACACCTCTCTTCTGTACTGCTGTCAATCCTCTAAAATCAGCCTCCTGAGCATTTAAAGTTGTCCTCCTATATAGTTCTTCTTTGTGTCCTTAATTCTTTCCCATGGGTGCCACCGCTGCCTTTTGTGCTTGTACGAATTTATTTGAAGGACTGCTCCGAGAAAGGAAACCCCTGCAGGGACACCAAAGCTCTTTAAAGCCACAGAAACTGCTAAATAACATGATAGTGACAACAGGGATTGATCTTTCTCGTTACTTTAATTCAGTTCTCCAAAGATTTTCTCACAGATACAAACACCTCACATAACTAACCATATGGCATTAATGCCACTGAAGCCACTAAAAAACAGCAACTTCTATCAATGCTCTATCAAGTTTTTATTTATTTATCTACTTATCATCCATCAATATGAACAGCGTTGTTAAAGGTTCTCTTTTACCTTCACCGTCCTATTTCTTTAGATTGAATATTCTAAAATATGACCACTTATCAAAATAAAAGTGCATGAATGGCTGGAAAGTGTCATGTCTTATTGGTGGACATTCAGTTACTCTTGGTTATTAAAATATTAGGCAGAGGTCAACAATTATCTAAAAGGAAATCTTATTCGGTCATTTTAAATTTTAAATCGTCAGCAGTTTGTGACAAAACATCTAAAAAATGAGCAGCAACAGGACAATGGAGTGTGAGTGTTTTGACATGAAGAAAATATTACAGTTCAAATAAATAAACTCTTTCTGGGGACTTTCTGTGGAAACGATGACAAACTGACACCAATATTACAACTAAAACAAATGCACATAAAAATTCCGGCCATTTTTTGTTCTTTCAGGGAGGAGAGAGAGTGCGAATAAGGAGCATAAAATAAAGTTTGACCTGAAAAAGCATCTGAGAATCGGAAGTAAACTTCTGTGAGAGTCCCTGAACTCAGTGTGCATGACTCCACCTGTAGCAGGAGCTCCCTGAGCCTGCGCAGCTGGGACTCCAGCTGTTTGTTGTGGTCCTCCAGGATCTGCATTCGTGTCTCCAGTCGTGTTTTGTGTTGTCGGAGGACCCGGGCCTCAGCCAGCAACTCTTCATCTTGCTGCTCTCCCGCTGTGGGGGACCCCAGGCAGCTCTCTCCAGCCTCGGTCAGCATGGGAACCGAAGTTGCTTCATCGTGCTTCCACTTGAGCCGCTTGTATTCGCCTTGAAGCACCCTGGAGACAAGAAAAAACAAGAAATTCAACTTTAAAAAAAACACAGAAATGCACCTTCGCATAATCTGTGTTTCCATTAATTATTCAGTTTGAATAACTTATTTCCTCATATGAAAATATCAACACATTACACAGTGCTGAAAGGTGCTAATGTTTTGACGCTTGTTAAAACCAGAGAGTAATCATACTCATCCTTCAAAGCAACTACTATGACCAGGATGTCACATCTATTGTTAGTTTGATATGATGTGGATAAGGTGTTGAAAATCTTTACATTCTTCTTTATTTTACTTTGTTTGCTTCTGGCAGGGGCTGCACGGTGGTGTGGTGGTCAATACTATTGCTCCACAGTGAGGTTTCCTATCTTAAATCTTTGGGGCTGGGGAACTGAATATGTGGACTTTGCACGTTCTCCCAGTCTATGTGTCTCTCTGAGTAATCTGGTTTCCTCCCACAGTCCGAAAACATGCATGTTAGGTGAATGGATGGATCTAAACTGCCCATAGGACTGAATGGTGATGGATTGGCGACCCGCAAGGATGTCCATTAACAACTGGGTAAGGCTCCAGACACCCTATGACCCTTTGAAAAATAAAGCAACCGGAAGGATTATTCTGGCTGAGGTGTGTTTTAAAAAAAAAAAAGGAAAACCTTTCCAGAAAAGGTCTGAGTTTTAAAGAGCTGTTAAAAGAACAAGTCCGGGACCACAGAGGTAAACACACCCCTATACCAGCAGAAACACAGTACATGAGCAGAAGCCATGTGAATAACACAGAACGCCGACTCTAACTGTCATTATCAGGGGCAAAACAGCAGAAAATGAAGAGACAGAAATCGTGAACCAGGTCAAGGTTTCAGACACCTAAAAGGCACAGGTGTACGTGTGTATATGTTGCTGCTTTTAGCTGAGGGTCTGGAAAGGTCACAGGCACGAGAAAATTATTCATATGAATCATTTGCATAAAAGATGCCCCTGGTAACCAGTTTAATGGACAGGAGAAAACAATTTGCTTCATTTATTTAAATGTCCGAGCCCCAAGCAAAATACTTCAAATTCAAAAAATTAGCATCTTAGGTTTCAGACATGCTTTATACTTGTATTAAGGACCATGGTGAGCTCTTAGTTTCCCCTCTGCGGAAAATAACTAAACTGAAACAGCATTTCCAAGCAGATTCATGATATCACACAATTGTATAGAGGTAACTGATGGATAAGCATTCAGAGCATTTTTTTTCTTTTTTCAGGAGGCATTTCAAATGGATTTAGAAGTGCGAGTGTGTTTACTCTCAGCAGGAGGTTTTTCAAATGGCAGCAGGCAATTTGAGAACTGGGGAAAACCTCTAGAAAAACATACTTATTTGAGAAACCACGCGTTGTCTGCTTCACTCCCTAAACCGATCTTTATGTCTTTGCTTCAAGCTTTATCTCGAAACTTGTTCTCCAAATCAAATGTTTCAGGATAGTAAATCGAACAAACTCTTGAAAGCTTTTTTTATGTGATAGATATAGTTTAACATTTTTCTGAAAGACTGCACAGAAAGAAGTAGGTATTGGGAAATTCGCATAGGAAGCTGAATAAATTCTCAAATTTCGTTTTTTTTTTTTTCCTGGCTACAGACCTGTTCTCGTTCTCCAGGCGGGCCAGGGTGCGCTGGAGCTGCTCCTTGTCCTGGTGCTCCAGGTGGGCCAGCAGCATATGCTGCCCGCAGGGGGAGTCCTGATCCAGGGCTGGGCTGGAGTGACGCAGGAGGTACTGATCTTCATCCCTGAGTCCCCCACACAGGAGACAGCACACTGAGCCACCAGCACACAGCCACCAGCAGCACAAAGCAGGTCCATGGCACGGCAGAGCGGAAAAAGCCAACGCACAGCAAGCGGGACGGGTGCAGGTGTCACAGGACAAGACACAAACCAAAAGACGGGGCGTAGCAGGACGGGCTGCTTCCAAGTTCACACCCCAAACACGCAATGCTCTGTAAAAGCTTTGGCTTGCCAAACCAAGAGCCCACTAGTGATTATTAGAAATGGACAGAGCTGTAGCACAATACACTGCCAAAAATAATAAACGCTTCTTTGACATTGGAATAAAAATGCTAATTTGCTAATCTTTGACAGTGAAACTCTGGCTGTTTTACTTTGAATGTTCAATACTTTTTTATGTGGCAATAATACATTTGCCTTCAGAGGGAAATATTTTATTGGCAATAAGTAAAAAATATGCCAGAAGCTTTGTATTTTAGTGCCAGCCGTCTCTTAGTTTCAAAAGCCCATGATGAGACTAAATCAATCTTAGTTGCAATATCCTTCAGATACAATAAAATCTGTTAGAAAGGTCCACTTCAGCAATGATGCATTGGTGAGACAAAGACTCTAACCCTACATTAAGATTCTGAACATATTTTATTGGTGGGAAATATGTCTTCTTTGCTAAAGATATTGTTGGCAAAAATTAACACAGAATAAAAAAGCTCGTTTTAACCTCTAACAGTATTTGCTGCACAATTCGTTAATAAAATGTTAATTACTTCATACTGAAAGCTCCTTTTTCACTTTGATCAAAATTACAGCAGCATGCAAAAGTTTTGTCGAATTTTCCTATTGGAGAGTATAGTAAAAAAAATCTCCAGCCATTATTTAATTCAATATATATCACTCTTTTTTAACATTTCTGGCAATTTCTATATTATTTTTACTTAGTTGAAACCTATAACTAAAGGAATAAACACTATCTTATGTTTAATTAAACATTTTGCTCGCTAAAGTTTTGGTTGCTTCACATTGCTGAACTCCTGATACTCTGTCCTTTAAATCAACTGCTTTGGGCTCCTGTAACACATGTCTCACACAAAAATAAAACAACTGACATTCACAACAATTATAGTACAAGCAGGCTATGGAAGATAATGAGAGTTGTGTGGGAAGCTGGTCCTTTGGTTAGTAAAGTAAAGTAATTAAGAAATGGCAGTCAACAAGCTGAGGTCTGAAGGAGCAAGCAAGAACACGTGTGTTTTTGTAAAGGAGCGTACACTAAGTAGAAAATCTTTCATGTATATCCATAAAATTCACATAATAGGTTGTCGGAAAAGACAATGCTTGTAGAATATTATAGGGATCTCAAACAGCATAAAATCTATTTGGACTACCTTAATGTAGTGGGTGCTGGGGGCTTTGCTCAGGATCTCTCAGTTCCCCAACCTAAACATCAAAATCTTTGAAAAGGCCTCTAAGGACCAAGGAATGCAAGACAGCCCAATAATATCACAGAACGAGAAGGCCTTGCAAGCAGAAAAACGAAAAACCCCCAAAGAGGAACTGAAAGACTCTCATGTGGCAGCAAAAAGGGTTCATGAGCTGTGATACTTGCTGAAGGAGAGCAGGATCTGAACATGTAGGGTTGCCGAACGTTTGCTTGGGGCCAGTTTATTTTTCTGAAATTCTGTGAAGTAGTAAACTGGAAAAGGTGAGAAAAAAAGATTAACTTGCTTGAAATGTTTATTTCTTATTTCATCTTTACGGGCCGTCTTAAATTTCCTGAGATTAAACCTCTGGAAGTCACTGGAAATTAAGAACTATGTGCACTTACCACCAAATTAACTCACAATATAGATGAACATAATAATAAAATCATTAGAATATCATTGAGAATGAAAACATTAAAAAAGGAAGCAATTCTTAGATTTCATTTGACATTTCCCCATTATGGATTCTATTAAAGAAAGCTACTTTCTAATCTTTCTTTTCTCATCCATTTGTAAGTGTAATTTATTAATGTGCTTCAGCTCAGGAGGTGAGTTCCTCTTCTTCATTCAGAAGGTTGAACTTAACCTCTGAAAATCAAATAATCCTAACAGTCCTGAAAAAAGAAGCTGTAAGTAAAGAGATCTACTACTTAGTTTAAAATAAATCTTTGACACAGCACCTTTCAGGAAAAGTCTAAACATACAGAGAATTCACAAATGTCTAATAGTTTAATATTACTGTTAATGTTTAATATTACGTTATTTTTGACTGACGGCTCCATGACCCAAAGTTTAAATATTTTTCCAGTCTGTTACTTGCAAATGGAGAACTTTGAGCAACATACACAGGTGGAGGGTGAAGGCTGTGAACACAGGCAGCATGGCTCAGGACAGAAAGCAGTATGATGCACGGCAAAACACCAGCTGGAGTCACAGATAGCACAGCAGCATGTACAAAGCCATGCAGCTTTTTTTTAAAAGAAGGTAAATGCACAGACAGCAAACAGTTTGCAGAAAAAGAGCAACCAGACACAAGCAACACACAGTGCCACAACATTGCTACTCACACAGGGCAGAGGTGGAATGCCATGCACACAAACACACTCAGAAACAGAATTATACACCGATGAACATACAAATATCCTAATTCAAAATACTTTATCCTTTCAAAAACTATTGCGCGGTCACAAACTACTTTGCTTTTATCTCAGCCTTAAAGCTATCTCTTCATGTGGTGTCAATCACAGCCTTTTTTTCTGAGCAGAAAGTCATAAAATCCATTTACAAAAAAATAAATAAAGGGCACACTTCACAGTGCACACACCGAGAGAGCTAAAGGACCAAACAGCATTTGGCGCTCAGCTGCTGGACACAGAGCTTTGAGTTTAAAGTTCAACAAAAGAGGAAAATCATCTCATACTGATAAGAAAAAAAAGAAAAAAAAACATAGACGGGGACAAGAAAATTGAGATTTTCAAACGACTCAAACCAGCACACTCCACCCCCACAATGAGGAGTGACTTCCTCACACATCAAAACATCCAAATTTCTCTCACTGCTGTACTGCAGAGCCAAACACACACTGCCTACTATCTCCACACAGCCAAAGACCTTAATTGCAGCAGGCATGTGGATGATGAAGAGGGAGTTTATGCCCACTGCTCTCCGTGGGTCATTCTCATTATGTGGCTGATTATTTATGTGATTACCCAATCATTTCCTAACAGTCAAACATGCATGTACAAGCCTGAGCGCACACATAAACACATAAACGGTCAATATCTCAGGAGGGAAGGAAATATACTGTACACAAAGCTGTGGCTGCATTGAGGGGGGGGGGGGGGGGGGGTTGAGGTATACTCACAGGCTTTCATCAGGAGACAGGCTATCCGTGAAGAATGAACAGTTCTGGCTCTCCATTTCCGCCAATCTGTACATTTACGCATAAGGACAACCCGGCAGGTGCATAAAAAACAGAGAAAACACAAGAGCAACGCGGGAAAGTGGGTGAGTCAAAACAAATGTAATAGAAAACCAAACAACATCAGTAACGTCACGCGCTTGGGGAAATATACTTCCACAAAACTCATTCTTACAGAAGGTAATCTCAGCAGTATCGTGAATAGAACTCTGGCTTTTAAGTAACTGTGGGTGTCCGGAAACATTTGACAGAGAAGTCTGCAGATCGGCAGAAATTCTTCTTGGCTTAGACGTACAAGCTATAAAATGTCCACAAGGAGAGGGGATAAAACTGTGCTGTACATTGTCTGCCAGAACACAGGCAATAAAAAGCCTTTTAGAAATCCACTGCTGTCTGACAGCAGCTGTGTTGTGAAAGACTGTGAGGAGGCAGGTCAGTTGGCTTTTCTTTTTTTTGGGAAATCAGCACCAAGGACAGCGCTCCCACCCTCCTGAGTCTGGATCTGCCCGAGTTCTCCTGTTAAAAGGGAGTTTGGTGCAAAGTTTACATTTGTTTTGAATGAAAGTAACTAAGCAGAATTAAAAGGGCTTAAATGTGCATGTTAAATTATGTGTGGTTGCCAGTTCCAATAAACTGTCATTTAATTCGAATCATATTCTAAGCTAAAAATATTAAATAACAAGCTCAGTGATCTGTCATTCGTTTGTCACAGCCTACTGTTTGGATACAATCTTTTTATTCTTCAAGATATTGTAGGGCACAGAGCTAATGTTTTCCACACTGTTGGCATCAGCTTGTGCCGTTTGTGTCTCTTTATTCGATCATTTTGTTTAATTTTAGTGAATAAAGAATAGTTGATACACGATCAATAGAGAGTTATGGCTTATTCAATGCAATTTCCCGGGATTTATCCACGAAAATGTAGAGAGAAAAAAATCTGTATTGGAATGCACTACAAACAATTCTCTGGCACCCCTTTAAAGGACAGTCAAGAAAATACAAATCCAATTTTAATTTGATGCTCCGGCTGGATAAAAGAGAAAGGGTTAGCCAGAATGTTGAAATAAATCACATGTGAAAGTAGCATATGATCAGAGTGTTGGTTTTCCCCTCAAGCATGATCATTTATCATCATAGAGAACCAGCCCACTTATAAACACACATCTGCTACATGAAAGTCGTTGCAGCAGCATTCCTCACACACACCAACACACCCCATGCTGCATCACGTTTCGCACTGTGTCGAGTGATTTGGTGGGTTCTCGAGAGCATCCACAGCACATCCCCCCCTTTTTCCCCATTTTCAAATAAAACCATAACACTGAGAAACTTGGGATTTATCCATGTCCTGTAACAGGATCTCTGGCCTGTGAACCTAACTGTTCCAAATCCAATCTGTGACACCATTCATCAGAAAGGCTCAGCAGACCTCAAGACTTAGTCAGCGACAGCAGCAAATGAGAAAGGAAAGGCCGGAAAGTAATAGGAAATAGTGGTCTGTGTGCGAGTGCTGCGCATGTGTGCTCGGCTCATTGAACGAATGAATGTAAATGGATTTGAGAGGAAATAGGAAACAGGAGAGACAGAGAAAGAGATTTACAGGGAAGAAACCCCTTCCAGAGCCCGAAAGGATTTTTTATTATCTTTTTTATTATCTATCCTCTATGAGATGTCAGATGAAGAGGGCAAAAGGTACATACGGAGAGAGCAAAACATTCACCGGCTGTCTGTGTTTGACATGACGAGTAATCGGACTTTTCCAACATCCAATAACCTGTCTACTTTGAAATGACTGAGGACTACTTGAAATTCCAAATGAAGCTTGCAAATGATTGTAATCTAAATGGTCTAAGGGGGGTAGTGGACCTCTGAACCTTCTGGTTTGTTCAAATCTAACGGCTGACAGAGGACTTTGGCCAATCACAGGTCCCAACCCGATCACTGAGTGTAACGACTGTGTAGATCCAGTTAGTCGCTGCCATTCAAAGATGCGATTTGCACTTACAAGTCAAACCGTGCTGGTGTCAATATGCCTCTGCAAGCGTTACGTTTGATGCTTGACGCCTGTACATCCATGTCACGCATCCTAAATACATTCCTCCACGTGCTGACACCAGTGCTCGACATCGAACTACATCTGTCAGCCTGTCACCATTGAACGGAGCACATTAGACGTTGTTGATTTGGCCGGAGTGGAGAGGTAAGCTGGTATAGAAGCTAGCCAGTGGAGCTATGAGGTCAAATTTTAACTCTCAATGTTGACCACATGCCTGGATTTGTTTACTTCCTCTTTACTGGCACACAGCCAGTATTAAGGGGTGAATAAAATGCATTGTTAAGGTTATAAAATGTGTGTATTGTTCGTGTCTGAACATTTTTGTTTGGTTTTTATCACACTAACCAACAGATTTAGATTGGTGCTAATACATTCACCGCAGCGTGTGAAGGATGTCCTCTCAGTCATCTTGACAGCTGTTCCTCAAATGAACTATCACACTTTAAAGGTGAGACTCACACAACTAATGCTTTTTTCACACTAAATATGAACTTTTGTTCTCTGCAGCAAGGAGCAAAGTCACAAACGATTATGTAAATACGATCAAATATGTGTAACGTTTTTAGACAACATGGGCAGAACAAAAGCTGCCCCGGAAAGCAACAGCAAGTCTTATCAGACCAGTCAGGAGGAAAATATCCACATCATACCCCTCAAAAAGCTTAGTTAAACTAACACAGTTGTAGGTCTGGATGTCAGCCGTCAATTCTTAGGAAGTGGAGAGCAACAGAAACAAAATGTATACGATATGTGTTTTTCTCATTTTGCGATGTTGTATACAAAATAACACAGAAATGAAAACATTAAGATGAAAACCACTAAACATTAAAACCACTGACAAAAAGTATAGTCCACTGAATAAACTGGAGTCAAACTCAGCATCTGCTATTTTCCAACTTGACCCTGTTGGAAAATTGCAGCCTTTGTTGTGTATACGTTAATGGATGGTTGCTTTCATTGTGTAGCTATAAATACAATGAAAAACTGGAGAGAGTGGCTTTGTTAAATGCTGCCAGCAGTTGACCTTTCTGCGCCAATCATGGACAAATGCTTAATTCATGGTTTATTCATCTTCAGAATGAAGCGGGCACATGACATCGTGCTCGTGTGACGGACAGGACTCGGGGCAGAACAATCAGAGCTGCAAGAAAAAGCTTGAATTTCCGATTCTGCTGCGGCTTAAATGCAACGGTTTACCAACTTAACACCACGCTTGAATGAGGGCACCTTGACACACATGTACAGACACACATACCCTTGTGTTAATACGTCAACCCATGGGAAGAATTCAAAATACACCGACCTGTCAGTGACGATAACCAGCATTTTGATATCAGCTTGACTTTCCATTAGTGTTCAAAGAGAGTGGTGAGTTATGACCAACACTGGGTATGAATTTAAATAAGAAATGCGATACCGTCCATCTTTTCATCTGTTAACTGACAGGCAGACATAGAAAGAAAGAAAGGACGAAAGAAAGAAACAAAGAAAGCTGCTCTACATGAGGTTGCAGAGCATGTGGATATTTTATTTATTATATGTTTTTCTAATATTAAATCACAGTCCTTCTACTTCCCTCATGATAGTTACATCATGTTAATAGATGATCATGCTCTCATAATTCCTTTAACATTTTTTATTTACTTGAAAGGAAATGGTTATTAACATTTCTTTTAATTAATTTATCATAAATCTTGTGAAAGGTTGAAAAAAAATACTGGCTCGACTGTAGTAACAAATTTGCGCACAGATGTTTGAAGTTTGACATATTTTTGGGCTTAAATGACATCACTGTTGAGCTGGTTAATGTGAGGAGAAGTGTGATGTGATTCTTCCCGAGTAATCCCGCAAACCAAATGCAAGCTGAGCATGGTAACGCTTTTTCAAAGCCTGCTTTTAATAAGAGTGGGTGCCATAAAGAAAGAAATGCTTTCTTACTTGCTGACAAAGTCACCTGTCAAAAGTCATTGAAATTAAAATGACATGAAAAGGACATCCAGTTTGAGCTTCATGGCTCCATGGATCGGAATTAGTGTGATCTATCTTTGGGCCTGGCCGTTTGACATTTTGGTTTAAGTTTTCAAAGTAGGGTTCCGAATCAATTATACACATCCTTGCACATTCATTTAATAATGATTGACAGCAAGTGTGACAGATTATGGTGCTCCATCACTGTCAAGGCGACGTATAGTTCTCGAGTATGAGAGATGATGAGAGATGTTACAGTTCCATAGCTTTGTTTTTGGCATCACTCAGTTCTTAGAACGACTGATGGGATGAACGGGATCCCTGCTTTCTCCTGACCTCTATCTTCTCAAAGCTACGATGGAAAAGTTTAGGTTTCATAACTTTGTGTTTCAGTTTGACAAAGAGGAACAAATTCATTAGCAAATGTATGAAAACAGCAACAGTAAAGAGTGAAAGAGGCAAAATGAGGAGAACATGATGATGCTGAAATATTTAAGCATACTATTATATAATGTATTCTATTATTTAAATAGCCCCTTTACATTCCTACTAATATATTGGTCCTTCAAAGTCTGAACGGTTACATATAAAAGTAAAAGCCACTTTCAGTTCAATTCCATTGACAACTCACATTGAAGCTGTTATGTCAAATAACCAATTAACTCTGAATTTCACTGTCACTAATTCATCTGAGTTTCGGTTTTCATCAGCTAACATTATGATCTTATTTAAACTATAATTGCTTTTGTAATAGTAGTTTCTAACTCTTAGTTTGTAAAAAAAAAATCAAACTTAAGAATATCAATTTGAAGTCAGGTTGCCTTTTCAGGGCATAAAACATCGAATAAAGCAGTTGCATTTATTCAGTTATGTGATATAATTGATGGTTTTCATAGAAATGTTAAAAGCAAGAACAAAGGAGTTTAAACTTCTCACTTTCAAGAGAGTGCAGCATCATCTGCTTTCAATGTCATCTTGAAGCACTCCTAATTTCATTAAATCTTCTGAAGATTACATGTCTTAGAACACACCTTGAAAAGCATTGGACAGTTTAAAAACTAAATATACAGCGAACTTCTAAAAAGTCTGATGTTCTTTGAATTTTTCCTCAATCTGACTATTTTTCAGAAGCTACTTTACTTTTGAATTTTTTTCCTCTCGTATATTTGGATAAATACTGCTGCAAGACTAAAGGTACTGTGGCTGAGATTTTTCTAACTAACACGACGTAAGAAGTTTTTGAGGAAACTTAAGCCTAGCGGGCAACTTTTAGTAAAGAGGATGTGACTGAAAATAAATTCAGAGGATAACGGGGTTGAAATATAGAGCGAGAAGCAAAATAAACTTGTTTAAGGGAGACAACAGATATAAAAGAAAAAATAAGACAAACAGAGAACAGGTGAAATAGGAGGAAATGGTAAATAAGGAAAAAAAGAACAATTGTGTTTCCTTCAGAATGTGTGTGCTGCTTTTGTTTTGGCAGGATGTAAAGTGTGTGAGAGCCTCCGGGAGGAAATACACAATGGCACATTTACCATTACACACTCTCATTCATGGACTGCGGGCTCTCGGGAAAGGGATGTGTGCATCCAGCTTCCCCCCACAGAGCCGAGCTGCTGGGTCTCCAGGCCTATGCCCTGTTTATAACCTGTCACACAGACACTAATCCACACTGACAGCTCCCAGGTGACCAATGGGCTCACTGCCCTCGCAAGTGACAAGCCGCTAGGCACGATGAACCTCGCTAACCTCGATACACTAACATGCACACGCCACCACAAACTGCTATGCTTGTGTGTGCCAGAGTGTGTGTGTTTTGGGGTTGGGGATAAGAGTGAAGGAAACTGCTGGGCAGAGCAGTTGCTATCATGACTAGAGTATAGTGCACAATGCAGCCAAATCAATACCACAGTCAGTGCTTTGCAAAGACTAAAGTGTGAGGGAGCAGCAAAACTAGGGGGGTAGATGAGGATGAGGCATGGAGAGAATATAAAAAAGCAGAAAGATCATTTAGGGAGGGGGGAGAGGGATAAAGGGGAACCGTTGTTCAGTAATTATTTGGTGTATCGCTCAGCCCCGTAAGGCACATACCTGCTTGCGAAATGTTCGATCCTGCTGTGTGTGTCTGCATGGGGGAGCCTGGGTGACGAGCACGGACTACAGAGAGAAGGAACCACAGTAAATACTCGACAGAACACTAAAAGATTTCTACTTTAAACCTCACTGGCATGCGTACAGTGTAAGCCACTTTAAAACTCTTTGGATGCAAACACGGAGTGTTGGATTTCACTGGTTAACGTGTACCATGTGGGACGTTTCCACCTTTTGAGTGTTGATTTTGGCTTACTTTGAGACAGCCATCCCTATCTCAGATTAAAGTCATTCAGAATATCCTGACAAAAACCGAAAATGTCCAATTCACGTTTATAATACGGGTTGTTATAATATGGTAAGGAGCTATGAAACACAAAGTGTCATTGAACTTTACTTATGTGCTCTGCACATCCTGACTTCTCCTTCACTGAGCTTATATCGGTGAATTCTGCTTCCTCTGTCCACTGAAAACTGGTGTAAAAACCTCAGCTTGCTATATTTTGCAGTTGTTTGCACTAAAAAGATGTATCAATTTTAAGCACATTCCAAATTCTTCATACACTGATACAGACATGCCTCTATTTTCAACCATAATGACTTAAAATATTACTTATTTCACAGAAAATGAAAAACACATCAACATCTAAAAATGTTTTTGTAATACGACCATGGAATACATTTTCTGTAAAAAGAAAAAGGATGTGCAGGGTCCACAATGACATCGTGCATTGGTTAGTAGTCATTTTGAAGCCTCAGATGTTTTGTTTGTTCGATTTGACCAAATGTGATGAAAAGAGTGAAGCAGTGAGTGGTACTTGAAACCCTACTGAAAAAAGACGTCCCTTTGAGGTTTACTGTCACAATATCTTAGGTTTTCTCAAACTCACAACCAGCACACTAATCAGACAAAGTGGATTTTCTAATGATTTGTTGAGAGGGTTTGGTGGTTTTGCATTGCCTGACTTAGTTTGACGCATCTGAATGGGATTCTACTGGAAATAAGAGTTCGGTGACTAATAAATGCGGTCGTCAGTGACTCTGCAGTTTCAAGCATTTCCACATTGGCTTAATGTTTTAGATTATTCACAGCTGCACTGTGAACTACAAGCAGTGCAGCCGTGTGTAGTTGATAATCAGACGGTTATGCGGCCCCTGACAGCGTGGTGTGCCCAGACCCCTACTGTTCATGTTTTGGATAGGGAAATACATTAATTTTTCAATTTGCATAACTGTAAGAGCTTTCTAAGTGAGTGTAGACGTGCACATTATAATATTGCAATTCGCAGATTGGACTAATTTACAAATTCTGGGACTGTCTTTGGGTTTACATATTTTTCATAGGTGCCGTATTCACATTGTATATGATGTGGTGACAAATACATTGACTAAGCATAAAAGACAACCAAAACCAGATCAACCTGGAAGAGACAGCCTCAAGCTGGGTACGTTCATAATAACTACGCTGCCCACCCCTTTATAAATAGAGTGGATGTTGCATACGTTGTGCTCCATTTTTCGTTGGAGCAAAAAAGTTAATTGACATTGGATTGGTACCACTGATTGCTTATGTAGATTGTTATAAAATACACATTTCACTTTAGAAATATCTATCATTCTACCAATTTTTTTTTTAACTGTCATTCTTGGCTAGTGATGAGGTTAAAGACACTAGCAGAATATTTGCCTCCGTCTCTTCTGAATAGAGCCTGAGGCTTTTCATTTTCCCCTCATGTTTGTGGAACATTCGTTGAGTGGATCTGAGGAAGTCTTTCAGATGAAATATTCAAGATGGTGATAACCATTTTTTTAAAAAGAAAAACGTGCTTAATACTGCTCCACCTCAACCCAAATGATTTTTTGGTTTCCTCTACTTATTTAGATAATGTTGGATAATGTTAGCAAAGTCCTTTCAAATTTATTTGAGATTATAAAGGTTTCCTGTAAAAGTCACATAACCAGGCATAACTAAAACATCAAAGTACTCATGTTAAATGATCCCGGCTACTGTGGTTGCTCTGAGGCTCTGAGTCATGGCATCTTATTGATCTTATTCAGGATCTCAGCTTCCACTTGTACACAAATCCTGTGTCCATCTGGACCAGACCACCATAACGGTTGTGCACAGCCTGCATCTGCAGAGCGGGGATTGGCTCCTGGACACGGCAAACAGGGGATTAGCCTAACCGCTCTTGTTTTAGCCTCTGAATGGGAGTTGTCTGAGCAATGCCCCTGACTCAGACTGATATCGTAAAACTAAATTCATGTCAACACTGAACATAAAAGCATTCTTCAGGCATCTCAGTGAGTCACCACGATGATTAGTACACAACAGCATGAGTATAAGCGGGAGTAAGTAAGAGGCAGATGACAGGGGAGCAGACACAAAGAGAAGTGTGTGTTGCGGGACTCACGTCTCTGAGCTCTCAGCTTCCAGCACAGATTGCACGGGCAGGTAACCTCTCTGTGGGTGCTTTGTAAAGTACTGCTTTGACCTGAACTTGTTCTTCAGAGTCTTGGCAAAGTCCCTCATCTTTTCCCCCGAGGTTGTCTGTGGTTGCAGGGGTTGGCGGGGGGGAGGAGGGGTAACAGGAGGAGGTTGAAGCACAGGGCATAGAGGGGAAACAGAAAAATTGCACCGCTTTTGCAATGTTGGAAATGTTGTTTGCCACAAAGATGATTTCATGAAAAATGTATAAACTGTATTGTATTTACCTACTTTTTCCTCCATCTGTGCATTTTCTTTTTCAAATTCTTGGTACTGTCTTTTTCCATTATTACCCTTCTGCTTTGTTCATTTTTTCCTCTATTCTCTGGATTTGTTGCTCACCTTTTCATGCTCCATCTCTCTCTCTCTCTCAGTAGAAATCTAATCGTCCTTGTCTGCCTAGCTGCCGGGAAAACTATACTTTGTTACTGAAAAATATTGCATTCTATACAGATGGCCACACTTTACAGTTGGTAAATGATGAAAGACTCTGGCAGTACCAGCTCTCCTTTAGAAGGAATTTACGTTTCTGAACTAGCTTAACATTAAGATTTCATTGATAATTTGTGCTTCAAAAATCAGTTTAAAACAATGTTAAGACCAAAAAAGAATTACTGCTGAGTGATAATCACATGCAAATGATCGCTCTGCATGAGAAGATAGAACTAAAGACAGATTCCACTCTACTGTTTGGAAGCCAGAATCAAGAGTTCCAGGCCTTCCTTTTGTCAGAGCCTACTCTTTCCCTATAGACAGGAATTTGTATTCGACTAAAGATCTACGCATACACCACACAATGCTTTTCTTACCGGGGTGTAGTACTCCATGATGGGGTAGTGCAGCTTCTTTCCCTTGGTTGTTCGGCCAGTGAGAAAACATGTCTGGCAGATGTCCACATTGAACTGCTTCAAGCTGCGATACCTGTCAGGATCAATACAGCAGAGAGGCTCAAGTGATGTTTGCAAGAGATCTGGCTTGAGAAGAGTGTGTTTGTGTGTGCGTTTGTCTTCCTCGTGTTGCAGGAACATAAACTGGTTTACACAGCGAGGGGACTTGCTTAATTTCTGAGATCATGATCATTTCAGCTTGGTTTAACATTTAGGCAACTTAGCTTAAGATCAGAGTGGGTCTCAAGAAATGTAATGTCCATTAAAAGGTTGGAAGCACATACTAAAATTATAGATGCATTCATTTGTGAGCAAATGACTATATTACTGATGTTTGTAAAAAAAAATAAGGAGCATGGTGACCTATTTCTGGCAGAGATCTGATATATTTTCAAACAGCCACAGACGGATGGCTACCTGAAGCCTTTAATGGGACATTGTTTGCAGACATAACATTTGGCCTGGTGCTTGGTGGACTCTGCAGCAGCTACACGGTGCAGGACAGGAAGCCAAACCATTGATTGGGGCTCAAGGCTCATCCATTCCAGGAAGTGAGACACCTCGATGGCAGGTTTCCCTGGGGCCTGGTGAACAAAGTTGGAAGAAAAAGAGAAAAGAAAGATGACTGTAAATAGCCCAGTTATAGATCAATAGAAAGCCATGCCCCCTGAAAGAAGGAGAGGAAGTGTTCCATTTTTGAGGGATTCATTTTCAAAGGTTGTTCCTGGTACTTACTAGAAAGAAAAAATCACACAGAATAAAGAGGAAGAAATAAAACTAAGGGATACTTTCGATTTCATGCAAGCTGTTAACTAGTTTTCCATTTCTTTGTCTGTGTCTTTACTTGTTGTCGGCCCTTCTTGGAGTTAGCTTGATGGGAGTTCCAGAGGGTTAAATGTAAGAAGTCAACCTTGTAAAGGAATAACTTTTCAAGAGCTAAGAATCCGTGATGTGCTAAATTCTCATTAAGTCTGCATCAGAGATGCATTAAGAGGCTGATTTCCCCAGGCTCCCCCCACCACTCAAGCAGAGTGTCGTAGTAAATGTGTGTGTGTGTCTGAGTGCACTGATCACAGACAGTGAGACGCACAGAGGTGTGCAGTCTCCAGTGAACCAAGGAGCTTCTCTGTTTGTGGAGTCGCCAGCTTTCCCCCCCCTGTGGGAGGTCAAATGACAGCTCCTTGCAAACCGAACACCTGGAACAGGCATCGCATTCGCCTGAGCACACCGCTGCATCTCAAAGTCGCACACAGCAGATGGGGTGTTCACAACATCATCGGGAAAAATGAGATGTTTTACTCACATTAACCCACCAAGAGCTGTTTTTTCTTAACTATATCTGTTAAACAGCATATGTTTATACGATCAATTATTGCAATGAACTGCATCACTATTGACACTCTTTAAATACTCCAAAAACAGATGCCTCTTATTTCAAGTTAAATGATAAACTGGTAACATATCCACTTATTCATCCTCGGTGTACCTTCATTGTCATTAGTCTTCAAAAGCTTGTTTTTAACATCAAAGTTTCTTCATGATCAATTAAAAGTTTATGCTAAAACACATTTAAAAATGTTATTTTTAGTCTAACTGAAGACCAGGATTGAGCTTATTTCTTATTTCTATTATCCTCTGTCCTCTGTCATTCTCAGTTCATATGTTTATTTTCGCATTTGTATCGCTGGTCTTCATGTATACAAAGTTTTTCAAGTGTTACCTTTGTGTCTAATTTGGCAGGATTTCCTGATTTGGAAGGTTTGAGGATGGCATTATAAAAGTGCAATTTGCAGATGATTTGACGAAACATCTTTCATTAATTGTCACTAGCCTAAAGCAATCAGATCAATGCGGACCTTCTTATTAAGTGAATAAGAAAAGCAATTGTTGACTACGGTAACTCTGAAAATAGATCATTATAGCAGAATCCAGATTAAGACAAAGAATGGTGTGAACCTTTGTGTCTCAACCGCTAATACATTGTTTCAATCCTAGAAAAATGGATTTTCTACCAAGTATCAACCTATGAATAATGCATGAATGTGCTGGCTGTAAATGCAACTTTGCTATTATTTTACCTAAAAGTTTTATTTTTCTGGGGAAAAAAAGCTTTCATGAGTGTCTTAGTAAAGAGTGTCCTTTGCTAGCTACCCAACATGTCCCCCAGTCATTTCAGCCGTGTCCTTTCCTAAACTCGTGAATCAGGACAGCTCAGCTTATTAGTGCAGTTTTGTTTACTTCTGGACTTTGATGTTACTGCATTTTCCCATGCTTACCTGACTTACATTTTTCAAAGCATTGGATTAAATAAGACAACTCACATGGGAAACATTATGCATTATCTAATGATAGCCATTCATGCAGATAAAATGTAATGAAATATTAATATCATGTAATGCTTAAGGCAATATATTTTATTATGTTTGCTGCAGTTATAGCTTCTTAGCATTGTAGAGAATAAAAATCCCTTCAGTTTCCAGCAGTTTTACGTCTTATTTCCTCTATAAGAAGTCAGACTGTGTCAGTCTGTAAACAGCAATGCCGGAAATGTGGCAGCTTCCTTTAATCAAATCCAGTTTTTGAATTAATTTTACCTTTTAGCACAGAAAAGTTTGAGCACTGAATAATTTCACTTTTTTTAATTTAATGTCAGCTGCAGTCCCTTCACTTTAATTTGGATTGGGATCATTTTTGAGATATATGTCATAATTAGATTTTCAAAATGACCTTCTCATTTCCTACCGCGGTGACTGAAGTATTACCTCCAACACTGAAACTATACTGGCTCTCTGTGTGCATCAATAAGATGCTAGATTCATATCCAGAGAGCACCAAAACTGCAGACATTCAACCGTCTGACAGCGTTATCTGTTCTCATGTGTCCATATCAAAACACGTGTGCAACAAATGATCTCGTCTGTTCTTTGAGTTCACAGCATGCGCATCAAATAGCACATCTGTCCTTCTGTTTAGGTGTAAAAAGCATGAAAACAACCGTGTCCTCACCATGCGGAAGCAGCTTCGAACACTTGGCTCCACGTTGCTGCCACCGAAAGCGGCGACTTCTCCGAGCTGGCGGGGAATCTGGATGGCTTCATGAAGCAGCAGGCTCAGGTGACGCTGGTCTGTCGCACCTCCAGTAGCCGCCACCTGACGGAATAAATCTTCAAAACATACATGCACTTTCCATCAATTATGCAGTAACTAATTTGATTACACACCAGTAAGTAGAGTAGCATGAATTATGCAGGGTTAGTGTGTGTTTGAAAAAAAAAAAAAAGATCTGAATTATTGTCACATCTGCCTGATGTTTTCTACTACACATCTGTTGATCAAATGCATTTGTACTTATTGCTGAATATAGACTGTTTATGTGTAGATTTAGAATGATATCCCAAATGCAGCTAAAACTTCGGTAAAAAGAACAAAACTGTTTGCAAGACCCTTTTCATGAGAAGTGCACCCTAAACTCCCCAAAACAAAAAGTATCTAACCAAGTTTTATAGACTAAAACACATTTCAGTGACATATAAAGAGAGATAGAATAAGTACTTGTGATCCAATCAGTTTGGGGATAAAAGGATCACATAACTGTCATAAGTACCCTTAAATAAGATAGTTACAAGTTTGACTATCAGTCAGGAGATGAATGCTGATATGCATGAGATTTAGCCAAAAAATGCCAGAATAGACATCCTATGTATTCCCATCTCTGTGTACTTATTCAACCTCATGGGGAGAGCGCTTGGCTTTGAAACCCGCATTTTAAACAGCCTCCTTATAACCAGGGCCGAGGCGGGTTTGACATTTTAAATGGTCCCACATAGCTCCTCTGAGGAGCTTTTGACATGTTTTACAGAGACACTTTCAAAGTATATCAGTCCATCACATTTTTAAAATGCGGCTAGCAATGTTTCAAAACTCTGTGGTGAGGTAATCATATTCATGGGCTCGGAGGCATGAGCCACAAATTATCTCACTGTTGTTGAGATATTTAAGTCTGTCAGAGTGGTGGAGGAGCTGTCAAAGACTGTCAGAGAGAACAAAAGAATTCTAATTCCCCCGTCTGCAGATTATATTCAGCAACTTACTTTGCTACGGGAATTTAAGGGCAGATTTTAGATGTGAAAATTAAAAAAAAAGGTCAGTGACAGATCACTAAGTGCTGCGAGTCATGCTGATAAGACAGGCATGGGCAATAATTATAAGAAGAAATACCAGCCATTAGCTTCAGAAGAGCAGGTACGGTAAGATAAATGAAAACCTCTAAAGGCCTTCCTGAGCCCAGAAAAGATGGCTGACTCCCATAAGGGATCTTTATTTTGAAGACGGATCTGTCGTCTTTTCTCAGATCTTACACAGATGGTGTGCCAAACATGAAAAACCCTGGCATGAGGTTTTTGGAGTATTGACTCAGATCTTGTATTAACGACAAGCTGTTCTTGGTCCAACTATAATCACTTCAAATGTTTATTTAAAAAAAAAAAAACTGGAATAGCAAGAACAATAAAACATCTGAGACCAGCACAGGAGACAAATAAAAGTGGGCATGTAACATAATTTATGATCAAAAAGGTGATGGGAGTGCCTTCACTCTTTGCTTGTTGCCCTTAAAAGCATAAACAAATAAATAAGAGCCATAGCATTATATTGTTCATAAATAGTGTCTTTGGGAACCAATCCTTTTAGAACCTCTGATGCATTTTGCACAAGTAAAGAAAGCTTTCTCTATTATGTGAGTGGGGCCATTTCCTCCATTACACTAAGTGGATGTCTTTATGTGATACCGGCTATCCAGCTCCTTTTGTTTTGAATCATTATTGCAGCTGAGAAGATGCGTTCATGTGCATGAATCAAACTTACATTTGTACTTCTCCTGGACGTCCGCATTGCACAAGCTCACCAATCCCATCTTGAAGCTGAGAACTCGCATTTTGCCATTTCGAGCGCTACAGTAAGGACAGGAAAAAAGCTGTTTGGTTACAGTTTATTACAAAGGTAAATAATCTAATAATAATATATTAGTACATAACTTGAGCCCCACCGGGGGGATTTACATGATTCAAAGCATCAGAATACAGGTCAGTGAAGTAGTGTGAAATTGTATTAGCGTGCATTCACAGAAAGTAAAGGCACCATAGGGATTTGATGAAGTGTAAGTCTGTGGGACTATGCCCAGAAGAGCAATAGCTGACTCTTAAGTCACTTTTAAACATGTGCATGCAGTACAGTAAAACACACACAAAAACATATGCCATGGCATAATTATGAGGTTAACAAATGCTTTTCCTGAAGGAATAAGGTGTAATCAGGAGTTGGTAGCAATAGCCTTTGTCACGATGCTATTTTGAAGATGAGGAATGAATTCGAGAAACAAACATGTGATCACTGAGGCAAAAGCATTCCAGCTGAAGTTCTAAACAGCGTTTCAATTGCAGAAACCAGGCTTATCAAATGAACTGAAATTGTTCAGTGAGAAATCCAGATCATCCCTTTCATCGGGGATATTGGTTGTCAGCGCCTTTCCCATTACACTTCTATTATTAAATGCAACCCACTATGCTTGATAGAGGATGCATCCCACCCTGCTAACCCAACTCTACATGTGTGCTTGAACACACGTATAAATATCATTAGAAACAAAGACATCCCCGCTAACAATTGTGTTGGAAAGCAAAAAGCAATTTACTGAAATGTATTCATAGGTTAAAGTCTCTGATTGTGCCTTATTAGCAGTAAGTGGTTCAGGGCTGCAGACTGGCTTGAGAGTAATCATGGAAACACTCCTGTACTGTATGTGTGCCTGTGCTCTGAGTTTTCTCTTAGAGATAACAAAAAATAGTCACCTGTGATCAAAGACAGAAAAAGAGTGGTACTGGTGAGGATGATTTGTTTCTGTGTCTCTGAGGGGGTGCCTAGGCATTGTTACTGGAATGCCTCTCTGCACATCCACTCACACAGCTAACATGGGACTGTAACGGCTATCTGCAGACACACTGCTCTCTGTTCTAATAGAAAAATGTCTTTTATCGTAATAATCCATGACATCATACAAAGTGAGCGTGTCCTTAATGTCCATAATATGCTAATTAACCTAATAAACTGTGAAGGAGTCAGTGGCAAGCACTGTAAGAAATACCCTTAGTTCTGAAAGATTTTAAGATTTGATGGAGGATTTCATGTGGAATGAATTATAGTAATAGATATGGCTACTTAAATGATGGTTTTAAAATGTTTCCAGGATAGTTTTCTTTTCTATTCAGTTTTTAACCAAGCTAAGTGTACATAAATTCCAATAATGATCCATGTCAACATATAAATAGGACAGACAGCTGGCTGATTGTAGGCTATTTGCAGCCAGTGGAGAGTTCAAGGATGAAAATAGCATAATAATCTATATTTTTCTTCCTCCAAACCATATTGTTTTACAGAGCTTATCAGTTTTAAAGGTGGTTTCAAGTCTGTGCGAGATTACTTAATAGACAACGTTACATTGAGCGTCATGTACATGCTAAAAATAATGCCATGCCTTTCTGCCAGATGTGATCCCGAACTAATACTGACGTGCAAACACAGAGAGAAAACAACACAGTAATCCGTGTATCAAGCTTTTTCAAACAGCTATATAAAGAACTAAATTAGTTGAAGGTTGAGGAAAGAAGAATAGCATAGAGTGCCTTTATTGTCACTATACACATATACAATGAGATTTAGAGCCAGCTCCAAAAACAGGGTAATTGATTTTTCTGCATTTACTTAAGTTGCAAAATATTTTCAATCAAGTGGATTTGGTGTATCACGTTACAAAGTTGGTAATCCGGGTCAAAACCTAAAAGCAATTAGCATTAATTGTTTTTTCATGCTTGCACATGGAGTCCCCATTCTCTAACAACAACAATGAAACACAATACTCTAAAAAAGAGGTCAGTTACTCTGAAAGTGAGATAACTTCTCTGAGAAGTTGGTGGAAAGTTGTACAGATTTAACTCTAAAGTATCTTTATGATTTAAGAGAAGCTAATATTGTAAAAAAAAAAAAACACACACACAAAAACAGAGGCTTTATATAAATGTTGCTCTGCTGAGATGGAAACTGTTCTCACAGCTTACCCACCTGTCATAAACGTTGAGCAGCCAGTTGAGACACATATCAACACAGAGCGGAATGTTGACTGGGACGGACCGCTCCTCCTCCAGCTTTTCGTACAGAGCTGTTAGACCGTGAATCACCTCCACGACATCCATCACGTGCTCCGCCTGCTGCAGTTCCTGGTCCCGAAACACTTCCGTGAGGCTGCTCACTGCCACCGAATCCACTAAACAGGACACAGATGTACATTAAGCAAGACAAATAATGACCGAACAATAATTTTCATTTAATCTGCTTTATGTACTCAAGCAAATACAGGTGTGCTGAAGTCTCTGCTCCATTGTTAACTTTATTAACACAGGCTGTAGATGAGTGCACAACAATCACAGATGTATGATAGGAACATCCTCCTCTACTCTGCAAATGAGAACAGAGGTGACAGCAGTACTCACTGACTTTTTTTTTCTCTGCCTCTTAAGCCCTACCATATGTTTCAAGAGCAGTGGCACAGATTTGATTTTCCTCTCGTAAACTAATTTTATGGCCCATCCCTAGGAGTGAAGCTAAAAGGGTGTCCGTTGATGCCAGGTATAATTGGATAGCACGATAATGAGGTAGAACAGAAAGAGGAGATAAGAGGTGTATTCTCAGGGCTGGAAGGGAATCACCTGAAAATGTATTTCTGATGGGCTCTGATGCTGCACTGCTCAATCATTTACAACATGTGCAGAGAGAGGGAGAATTCTGCAGTTATCAAGGCAGAATGGCAATTAAATTCTGTAACGATATCAACTCATACACCAGAGCAGGGCGAGATAAGGAGGCTAGCAGGAGAAGGGAAGACGGAGAGTGATTAAAAGAGGATTTTTGTGCATGCTGGGTTTTTACTATAGAATGTGGAAGGGGAGAGAAGAGAGAAGAAGATAGCAAAAGAAAGTAAAATAAAATTAAATGAGCATGAACACGTTTTAGGGCCAAATATCAGTGGAATTGCGTTCACCGCAAAGGAAGTTCAAGCACTACGGATGGAAGAAAAATAGACAAGAAAAGAAGTAAGGCTCTGATGGGACACACAATCAAACTTTAACCATGCAGCAAAAACTAATCGCCTTCAGTTTTGTGAGTCAAATGGACCAATTAATAGTTAATTACCCAGCATGCTAAGCATCCAGGCCATGATGAAAATGAGGATGGGATCTGGTAGGTGGATAATTCTAATGGCTCCAGAGATTAGCAGCGTGTTTGATTGCTGCATTTCAAAGTCAATAGTAGTGGAAAATACAATGAATTTTTCAGGCTATTTTTAAGTGGGGCAGAAAGGAGCCGCGATTTTTTCGACAGCCGAATAAAGGAACAAGCCATAGCTAATCGTTACATCTCATTCCCACAGAGTGCATGACATAGAGAATTACTGATGGTGCACGATAACCATACGCCACTTAACCAGCCATTCAGGGGCCGCAGACAGAAAACGCTTCGGCACAATACTGTACATACATTTCAGAGCCTTCTGAACCCGTCGCAGCTTCATGGCCGTCCTGTACGCCGAGAACTTGATATTGTTCAGATCCGCTAATGGAAGGGGAAAAGATAGGAGGAGATTAGAGAGATGAGAGAAAAACTAATCCATCCCACACCACTCTCCATCCTGCTATTGAGGAATTAGATGTCACTATCTCTTCCCCTGTTTATCAGGCCACTGCAGCAGTCATTAGTAGTTTATTATATTACTAATATTATCCGCGCATGCACATGCATGTCTAGCAGAGCAAGTGACAGCGTGCGTATCTCCCCTGCAAGCTCTGTGTGTCAGATGAGATTAACTGTAAAACACATAACGTTTAATCACAATTAATTAGAGGTTAAGCGGGGAACCGTCGCAGCACTGGCAAATTGGGCCTCATAGGTTAATGACAGTAGAATTGTTGTCCCTAAGGTGGTGGAAATACAAGTCCCTTAATGAGCTGTGTGGCATGGCCTTCAAAGCAGAAGCCCCCAGCAGCAAAACGCTACTGGGGTTGCCGCAGCTCAAAAGGTGGTTGTGGTTGACTGGACGTGAGGGGGCTTTAATGGTCTCCTCACTCACCCAGCGCTTGGTACAGTTCTGTCATCTTTGGATGATCCCAGCACGTTGTCTGGGCCTGATGGCTGAAAAATAAAACAAAGCAGAAAATCAACTGAAGAATGGAGCTGTATACTCTTTTTTTTTTTTTTACAAGCAGGTGAGACAGACGGCAAAATGAGTGCAAAGAAAGGGCAGCAACGACAAGAGAAAGAGAAACATGAAAGGGCAGAATAGGATAACCACTGTTTACAAGTCAAGCCAAGGTGATTTCAGGTGTGAAGAGTGCACACTGGTGTCAAACATAAAAGGATTTATGCTCAAACATTTAAGTGGAGCAACACCACTCGGTCTGCTTCTCTCATAAATACAGAATTAAATCCTACTTATACCTATACTGACTCTCCAAACTTACTGCTGTATTAGAGGGACCCTGCAGAAAATGTATTATATATAAGAAAGATCCAATAAGAATATGAAGAAGATCAGAAGTGCACCAGAATAAATGAAGAACTTCAGGAAAAAGCTAAGAGAAGGACATCTGCCAGAGACCAGAAGTAAGGGCTCTTTCTGCACTGACCTCATCATTTACCTACAAGCTCTAATTGATGACCACCCAGTGCATTGCTAACCAGACAGTGTGTACCCCCAACCCCCACAGGAATAACAATAGAGACAATTAAAAGCAGCAGACAACACAAATACAAGATTGCTCTGTTTTTACTTAAGTCTGCAGACAAATAAACTTTAACAAGTTATCATAACAGCCAACATGCACAAACAGGTTTTCTTAAACAGGCAATTTAAAAAACACACTTAAACACACGTTCATTCCCATTTCACTGATTAAATCAATGATACTCAGCAATACAGTAATTTGCTATTATGTAAAAAGATATATAATGGAGTTTTCAAGCAGTCAGGTTTCATGAGAGCTTAATAGGTTCATTTTAAATAGTTTGCATTTACTCATACTAACAAATGTTTTGATATATTTACAGGGAAACATGATTATCCTGTAGATGACAGGAGTTTACTGTATGCCACAGTGCTTTATTAAAAGCATAAGCAGCACATGAGTGCTCAGTGTATTTGTAACAACGCAGTCAGAAAAACAGTACATTATGACATTGCCATTTTAAGAAGGAGATGAATAATGAAATGAGAGAAACAGCTATGGACGCTTGTATTAGGGGTTTGGAGTCAAATGTGTTTTAATGTATTGGCTTTTAAGAACATGAGGCAGCACAAAAATCCGTTAATAATGCTGACATCTGTGATTTCTGTTGAAATTTAAAGGAGCTTTGAGCTACCCCACTTGGAAAATGTTGATGTTTTATTTATGGGCATCACAACAGTGGTAGATGACAAATGCACAGCAACTATTTTTTGTGATTAGCGCGATGAGTGCTTAATTATTTAAAGTCTCCACTTTCATGTACTTTTTATGCAGCCACGACAGGCAGAGCTGGAAGAGACATTAGTCTTTTCTGATCATCATTACATAACTTTGTAATTGTCCTCTAGCAATGGCATTCGTGTAAAGTCTAAAGGATCCTCTGTGTGGCTGATGCACTCCCATCTCAGGGACTCATTAACATTACATTCGAACAAGTATTCCAAAACTGCACGATTTTATTCCTCACTGCCTCGGATTCTGCCATCTTGTTTGTGCAAACTTTACTGGAACAATTAATGAACAATCTGTGTGAACAGCTGTGACATGGTCTCACATCTGAGTTCCTCCAACTGAGCTAAAAAGTCATGCAAGTTACAAGATTTTTTTTTAAGTATATTAAAAAAAGAAGCACTGCGTATACCCAGCATTGGTTTTTACTAATTTGTCACAAAATGACAAATCATCGCGACTTGAATTTACCCATTTAACCTGCCACGAAATAAACATTTACCTCAACAATGCAAACACTGACCCAGAAGCTGCACTTACTTGATGTAGTAGGGCACTTTGTTTGGGGAGATCGCTCGCTCCCACGGTATCTGCACTGAACCTGTGCAAACACAGCGAGAAAGAAATCAATTTCAGAACGGGCCCGTCATGCATGAAGCGCTCGTCGCGCGCAATGTGCCTGACAGCGTGTCCAGACGCTGTGTCCATTCAGACCCTCTTAACAGAGTCGCTCCCCTGTACAACGGGAGCAGCGAGGCCAGAGAGATGAGTTCATTGTGCGGGATTTCCACAGAGTGTTGGTTTGTTTGGCACAGTCTAATAGATTACAGCAGGAGAAGAAGTGGAAGAGACAGGGTCACTGTGGCATCTCAACTGCCCCCCAAGCTGAACCACAGGGGCTTCAGTGGACTATCAAAGAGGACCGACCACATTCAGAGAAGCGTGGTACAGTCTCTGATACATGTTTTATGTGAAATAGGTGATATTTGTAATAATCTTCCTCCATGGTGCGTCAAATAATAGATTCAATCCTATGAGAAATTCAAAAGAGAACTCTTCAGTTGACAGATGAAGAATGACCAGAAGAGCCATCAATGCAGTTTACTCAAATTCAAGGAAAAGGCTATGGTTAAAAATCACTTAGACAGTGTTTACATTGTTTGATATTTCATAATATAACAAAGTGGTGGGTGACATCTACTCAAAAGTAACACTCCTCCAAGGAATAACTGCAAAAATAGTAATCTAAAACCCAGGACAAAAAGTTTATAATCTATTTCTTGGAGGGTGTTGTTCAGTTTCTCGTTGTAAAAAAAGAAAAGAAAATTGAACAAATCTTGTATATGATATTGGATATGATGTTTTAATTTTGTGGCTTGCCATTCATTTTCTGTTTTTACAACACACCTGCACAAATTAGACATGCAAAAAGGTGAGAGGAGTGTTTTGCAGAACCTAACAAGTGTGGCATGTGTTTATTTTATTTTATTTCAGCAATATGAAAGTGTCACATTAACACAACAACCCAAAACAGATAAACATTAACATGATGTAATGGGCATATTTTTCTTTTTTCTTCTCTCATGACAGAGAAAGAAAATACTTCAATAAAATTTGTACAATCAGCATTATTTCTGCCAGAGCTTGTGTTGTTGGTTAGTTAAAATCAAGGGAAAAACAAACTACGAAATTTGAAACAACGCCTTTATTTACCGTTTCAAACATAGAGTTGTGGTATCATTGTGTAACTTCTATTGCAAATAAACTGTTTTAAATATGATTTACATATGTATAAGATAGATTTAAACATAACAAAACACTTTGGCTGCAAGTTCCAATTATGGGATGTGTTTAATATTGTGTAAAAAAAATCTCACTACATATTTGGACAGCAGAATGACAATCGAATTATTTAGTCTATTGTAAAGTGAGTATTGTGTGGTACAGTTTCAGGAGCGTTCAGTGGGCTGAGTTAGCCGTTGAGCTTAGATAAACCCCAGCATGGCAACTCTGATCAGTGCTCCGGCAGTAAATTGAACGGGTTAGGTGAGGACACCCGAGACTCACAGGCAGACTCTATCATTTCAGATACACTCGCACAAAGACTCTTGCAACACACTGCTTTTTTACTTCGTTGTCAGTTTAAATCAAATCACATTTTTCAGTCTCCCTGCTACTTCTCTGCAGCCTCTGATGAACAGCAGGTAGTAAAAGAATGAGATTCTATGACAATAAATGTGTGCTCCTGCACTAATGAGGGCCTACGTGTGTTGGAGCTCATGAAGACAGACAAACAAAACTCCACATCTAATCTAAATGGGCACACAAAAAAATAGAAACCCATCACAGTAGTAAACACCAAACCCAACCCCATCGCTTGATCTCCACAAACACACACACATATATACACACACATACCCAAGAAAAATAAATAAATAAATATATATATATATATATATATATATACACACACGCACACACACGTACACAGACATTCTTTGAGATGGTGCCTTGGCACAGACTGGTGCAACATGAGACACCAGCTTCAAAAAGAAGAAGAGAAGTTTTACTGGAGAGGAAGTGCTGCGATCCGGGGCCAAAATCTCTGTGTGCATCCTGGAGCTGCTTCAGCCGCTCCTCTATGGATCCCTGAGGACACACACAAATTAAAATCAAAGGGAATCCTGCTGTGTGTCCCATTCTATCAAATATCCCCACAATTGGAAAGCACACGCACAGACCAACTGCTTCTCCTCCATTAGTTAACTTTAGTCTTTTTTTTTTCCTTCGCTGCCACGGCTCTTGAAGGACTCACAAAGCCTTTGAAGAGCAGCAGGTAGAATAAGAAGACCGAAATTTTAAAACGAAATGAAAAACAAGAACAGTCATTCATGGCTGGGGGAAAAAGAATGAATAGGAGAAAAGGAGCCTGAGAAGGACGCTGCCAAGCCTTAAATGTACGGCGTAAAATGTCCATGTGGCCTCTGTTGATAAAATAAGTTTGCCATTGCCTTAAAAAAAAACGTCATATCAGCTATATTTCCCACCAAATAGGAATTAAGTTCCTTAATCCTGGTTTATGTGAAAAGTATTGGACTCACATAAATCCCAGCTCAGCTAGATGTTAAAGTGTGTCCTCAAAAAATTAGAAGCAAATCGACTCCCTGTCATTTAAATACACTTAAAGACAACGACAGAGTATGGAAAGCTTGAGAACATTTAAATTTACTAGAGACAATCATATGTGATCTGTTAAGTTGGCATTTCTCATTGCTCGCCGAACAGATAATACAAAAAACTGAGGAGTATGATTTCAAATGAGTTCAGACTAATTTGGAGTGTGTTGTGGAGATGTTACGACCAAACATGTTGTGTTGTACGATCTACGTATTTATTATAATGTCACTTTTTTGCCATAAGCAAGACATATGGCTAAATTATGCAAGATAGACATTTATTACTAAATGAAATTCGAGAATAGGTTTTTTCCAACCGCACTGCAGCCGAAATGATGTTGTGGAGATTTAGCATTTATCATTTTAATCAAGATAAAGATGACACAAAAAAAGTCTCATCTCCCTCGCATTTTAAAGTCCATAGTTTTGTATTCTGCTCCATTGCTTTTGAACATGTGAGTTTGTACAAATCGTGCAACAGCTAAAGCAAAACAACAAAAAAAATGGCTGACATGATTTTCTGCAAAACCAATGCTGCCAATACCTGTCTTTTTATATGACACAACTGATGTAACAGAAAATCTGAGAGCAATCCAGGATCTGAGAGATGAATATCTGCTGTAGATATGGATACTAAAAGCCTTTTAACATATTGATCAGCAGGGGATGTATGAGGCTTTCACTTCCTGAATCAAAGCCCAGAGGACACACACTGCCTACAGTTGCACAAAGGAAGGATGTGAGTAGTAGGCTGTATTAGAACATGAAAGCCAAGAAAGATGAATCCAGTTTTCTACTTTTTATTTTGATTCTCCCAAATCATTTCAATTTACAAAAAAAGAACATTAAGATTAGATGCAGATTGCAATTATAAGAGACTAGTGTACTTTGCTATGTATTGTATAGCTTATTTTACAACATTAGGAACAGATTACCTCTAACATCATGACATTATGTTTCTACAAAAAACAGAAAAAAGATGTAGCGTATGGAAATCTAAGTAATTTAGAAACGTCCATCATTAATTGATTATCATCAAGAGTGAGCACCTCCATTAAACCTGTTTTGATCACTATGTTATGTCAGAGTTGAAAATTGTGTATTATGTTTTGCAGCATTCGAAACTTTTATCTTACGTAATCAGCCTCAGTGGCTCCAGAACAGCCCACAGCACAGAACCAGCTTTCTGCTTTGGTTTGTTTGGGTCTCTGTGATTAATTTTAGTGCTCCAGCGAAAGACTGCAAACTATATTCCACCCTCTGTTAAAAAACTTGTAAAGGACATGAACATCTTACAGCAAACTTTGTAGAACATTAGGTTTCTTTGATATTAGCCAGGTACCGTCAATCCTCCACCACCACTGTATCTTCTCTCAGGAAGTATAAACAGATGTTCATTCAATTAAATGGTTATATGGTGCTTTCACCAAAGCAAATTCCTTGTATGTGTAAACCTACTTGGCAATAAACCCAATTCTGATTCTGATTCTGATATTTCTAACATCTTTCAGCTGCAAACTGCATTACACATTTATGTAAATGTCATTGTAAACACATTATAATATGTTAAATCTCTGAAATGAGCAAATAAAAGTTGTTCATGTTTGAAATACTGCAATGAGCATATGATAAAATATTTACGACCGAGCAACTGTCTTTGTAAATCTACATGTTTTAACAGAGCTGAACACAAATTAAAATGCTTCGAAAGCTCACAGCGCACACTGCAGCTTAATATGTGCATTTACCATTTTACATTATTATTTTATGAATAACACTAAAGAAGAAGCACGGCTATGGCTGGAGAATTGCCTTCACATTTTCTATGGTGTGGTCATAAATCAAATACAACTTCAGGAACCACAAAAGTGGTTAAATATTTTCAGTAGGACACATGAATTTGAGTCATATCCTTACACAAAATCTCGTAGTTCTGAGGATATGTTACATGGAAGCATAAATGTCAACTTCATGGGATTTGGAGGAAAGGTTAAAGGATATAAGAGCCTTTAACAAAATGTCCCTTGGGACAATGAATGTCTCTGCAAAATGTCATAGCAATCCATCCAATAGTTTTGAAGATATTTTAGTTCGGAGCAACTGACAGACCAATGCCACCATAAAGCACCCTTCTACACCGTTTCATCACAGACCACTATGCAGAGAATGTATTCACAGAGCACGGGTATGCAGCTCATGTATACTGAGGTGTTTTGTCAAAAACACCAAAAGGGTTTTGCTTTGAGGAGGGATGCTTATACAAATGACTTTATTTGTTGCAGTCAGGGCACTGTCTAACAAATCAAACATACGGCGACTGTATCCTGCTCTGTCCTGATTTATTTGTTCCATTCTCACTATGAACTCAGGCAGAGCAAGCAATTTCAGAGCTGCAGAGGTAATTTCAAAGCAGAACAGAGTCAATGCACAGCAAGGGTGCGAGGTGGAGACCTGGAAATTGATTTCTGAGAATCATTCAGGAGACACGAAATCATCATGTTCGGAGATAGGAGACAGAGGAGAGTAGGAGGATGCAGTAGCTATTAAAGCAACATGTCAAGCTGTGGAAAAGGTGTCATGAGGGTTATCTAATGGGAGCAGGATGTTCTAACACGAGGTGAAAGCCGAGCGGGTTTTGTTGTGTTTGTGGGAATGCGAGCAGTTGGCCGATGATGGATGCAACTGATGCCTGAAAAACACAGCAGTTACACTAATGCATCAAGGTTACACGTTTACCTTAGGGTTACGGGGAGGGCAAGTTCAGTTCATTCTTTGATACACTTTACGAGTGAAAGGTTCAAATTCAGCAAAGAGCTGTCACCCTCTTGTCAGTGGGTGTGAATTTGTCAGGTAAACATTTTGCCAAAAAAGCACTTTTCTAATGTGTCCCATTGAAGTCTGATGATGGTTAGATTCACAAATGTTTGAACTTGCTTAATTTTTTTGAGCCAGTGCCTTATCCATCTTATAGTCGTCAGTTGGAAGATGAATAAACAGTTCTTATACAAAGAGGTACAAACAAACAATACAAACATCCTAACCTTTAATTAGATATAGAGTATTAGTAAATTGAAGATTGGTGACAAAAACAGCAAAATTATTCAACAAATGAACCTGTATTTCCTATTAATTAGTTTTATCACAGCTTAACCTTTTCTAACTCTAACCAATTTGAATTTTTTTACACTAAAGATCGTAATTCTTAAGAAGTTGGCAACATTTCTTGGCTCAATTTCACGCTTTAGTTAATAATAATACCCATGTAAGATTTCAGACATTCACATGTTTCCTAAGACAAGATAAATTGAGTGGAATAAAAGACAGCAAAGTTCATATAGTGGGTAAGATGTGAAGGATTGCATTAAAAGTGTGGCTCCCACCAGCAGGACGGGGGCTTGAGTTCAGCATTTCTACTGATCCAGACTTTTTCACAGTATTGATGTGATAATGAACAAACACAATGAAAATACCTTTTAAAGAGACTCCAGAGATTTCGTCCTCTGGCAAGTGTGGAGGAAGCATTCATTAATATCTATCCTCTCGTATCCTCAGTCTCAAGACTTTCAGGAGAGAACTCTTAAATATTAAAATATTCATTAAGACACTTATAGAAACAAGGCCTTGAGGTGACTGTCAACACCAACCATTAAAATCTAAACTAATGAGTGCTGTCTACAGGCCTTTCTCACATCCTTAAACTGAGTTCCTTCAAAATAACAAGAGGAAACTGAGCTCATTACACGGATGATGAGATGGTGGAAAACTACAGTTGTAACGAAACAGGTTTGTCAGAGCACAAAAGGGCCACAGGAATTTGACAAACTTTTCACACATTTCCCCCATTCCTTCTTTCCTTCATTGCAATGAAATCCACTCTCAATTCTACATGAGAATCGACTACTTGAGTGTCATGCTGTGTGAAAAAAACACTGGAGGCCAATGGCTGTTTGGAGCAGTGAGAAAATAACAGGAGCTCCACAACATCAATTAAACTCATTAAACGAACTGCTCAATCTTTTTTTAAAGTTTGCCTGCTACTCTTTTCTTTCAGAGTTAGATAAGTTCTTGATCATATCTTGTACAAGGCTGAAGCCATGAGCTAATTAGCCTAACTCAGCACAAGAAGCTTGAGCGAGAAGTTAGTTTGGGTCCTTTTAAAGTACTGGTGGTATCTCATATGATAGCAGTATGCATTACTCAAGTAATAGAATTCATGTAAATGACAGGTGACAGGTGTTGGACAGTCCTAAGATCAAGATGTAGGATGCTTTAAGCCCTTAAGATTATATGTTGATTATCCTTTGGTCCCTAAAGTATTGCTGGCTAAAGTGCTGCAGACAGCCTCAAAAGGAAGCAAAAAGCTCAAAGTGAACCCTACCTGAAGCACTTTCCATCTGTTGTTGAGATGCTCCAGGGAACGGGCATTCTCCATGGACAAATGGACATCAGAGATGGCCAGCTGGTGAGCAAGATCATTAATGTGTTTCATGCCCTCCTTCACCTGGGTCAGCTCCTCCTTGAATAACTGCAGGGGCCAGAGCAAGAACAAGCCAGAGAACAGTGGAGTGTAAAGCAGTGGAAGAAAATAAGAGTTGGACTGAAAATCAAATATAATCCATTATGAAGTATGTCAGACAGAGACATGACGAGGACAGACAAAAAACATCCAGTCTAGACCAAGTATTTGGCAGCGACTCCGCTCACATCTCATAATGAAAAGGAAAAGAATGTCATGATATTGACAGGCAGCGGCATCTGCTTGTGTGAGAGTAAAATAATGAGAGAAACATCTGGGGATTTTTTAAATGAAAAAGAATACGGCATGAATATAATCTAGCATAAGAGTGTGGGCAGTGTGTGTGGGCACGGGTTTGCCGTCCGGGTATTAGAAAAAAGAATGATGCTTAATGATGCTGTCATGAAAATGAAAGACACAGGGTCTTATTTCCTAAAGCAGTGGGCAAAAAAAAACAAAAAAACATCAAAAAAGCCTTCATTTACAACATACTCCTCTAAGGACACCGACAGGATAAAGGGAATTAGATATAAGGTATAATAACATAGCGTAATATGATAACATATTCAACTCACTTTCAAGTATAAATTGGGACCAAGCGTGGGTGTCTTCCTCCTCCTTTATTGGTAACATTCAATTTAAGTGCCCACAGCCCCGCTAGGATGTTTGTTGTAGTCAGTTATTACTTACCGCTGTAAAAGCTTTAAATAATCTCTCACAGGTAAAGAGATCATATGTCACACGAGGAGCAATTGTATTATTGAACACAAAAAAACTCCTAAATGCTACTTTAACAACAACTTAACAGTTATAAATTTAATGGCCTGACTAATATTGAACACTTTCACACTTTCCTTTCCTCCCTTAGATTTAATGGAATTGAAAATACACAACTCTCCCCTCGAGATGTTATGCCCTGCAGGAGGGAACAGTATGGATCCGCCCCCTTAAAAACCCTTGCCTCAAGACATGAATACAGATTTTGGCTTAAAATACTAAATTGCTCCTGAGACTTTTTTTTTCAGGTCAAGTTGAACCTTTTCTGCCCTTTTCTTATTAGCCACAGTCCACAATATCGAATGTGGGAAATACAGCCATTGCAACTACGTGGCAAATGCAAGCACAACTGGTTAGACTTAATGTTAAAATGCTTTAACGAGATAAATAGGTTCTATACATGTGCTTTATTGTGCAGTCCAGGTCAGATTCTGACCTGCAGGTAATTGCTTCTTTCACTTCAACTGTATATCACAGCTATTTCATTATTAAAAACTGTAAATGCTGATAGTCATTGTTTGCATTCACCAATCAGCCTTGGACTTCAAACCTCCTACAGGTGACATCATCAGCCATGCAACTATTGTCACAATTCAATATTTCGCTGGGAAAACTGAAGAAGCACACATACTCCAGCTGCATTCACCCAGCACAGAACCACAGTGAGCCCTGCAAAAACTCATTTAGAAGGCCTTCAAAAACAAATAAAAGTGTGGAGAGTGTTTACTCTGCCCACAGGCTACTAAAAAAATAATCTATTAGGATTTGGTGGCATCTACAGTAAGCAGGCCTAACCAATAAAGTACCAACACCACAGCCAGCTGAGGGAACAGGACCCATTGTGTTACCAAGAATATCAAAATAACATCAGTTGGCGATCAGTTATCCTCACTCTGACGGTCATAATTGTTTCCTGGTTTATTTGAAAAGTATTGGACTCGGCAAATAAACCTCATCTCAGCTAGATGTTGTAATGTGTTTTCAAACAATTGGAAGTCATTTGAAAACACACAAAAACAAGAGAGAGTACTGAAAGATTGAAAAGTTATTTCCAAATCAATTTTATTTTGGTGGCATGAGGAAGACAAAATTAACATTAGACAGACAGTGAAAAAAATATATTTGATTGGTGTAGAATTTTTTTTTTAAAGTAGGTTTAGCCCTAGTGATGCCGTTAAAAGTTAGCACACTTGGACAAGGAAGAACAGTAAATTGTGTGCTCTTTAGGTCTAATATCAAATTACTATAAAAAAAACTTTACCCCCAGAATCAGAACAGGATAGATCCACTGACTTCACATTAACTTTTGGGAGTATATGCTGACCTGCGTTTCTTATGAGAAGTTTGATTGGAGTTATGTTGGAGCCACAAATGTCTTTAAAGGAACACCTGAGTCATCAGTGGCTGTATGCATGTAGACGCTTTTGCATTGACTTACGCCTCCACCTGACCACTCATCATTCTTTACTGTCAGACAGCATTTTCCAAGGCTACCCGATAGTTTTTTAATAATGTCAATAGTGAACAATATTTATTCTGTTATCAGTTGTGTAGTCTTTACGATGTGGGAGAATCTCTTCTCTTCTGTGACTGTGGGATCTGGACAAACCCCTGAAGACTTTTTTATCATCTGGATGATGATGATGATTTTATAACTGCACTTGAACATGGATTTTTTTTTTGCCCATCTGAGGCGGCGTATATAGAATAATAGAGTTTAGAATTCCAATATAAGGTAAGGTATGAGAGCAGCAACCCCGGTCTGTGTCGGCCTGAAGAGTTGCCTATCTTTTAAGGATTATCAAACAGAACGATGTGATGTGAACTCATGTAAGAGCATTTATCTGTAGGGCTTGAAAACAAGGTTCAAACACTGCACATAAGTAGCAAAAAAAAGCTTAATGTAAAACATTATATGTTTCCCACTAAGCACGAGCCAGCTCCTTTCCATATGTTTCTCATGTGAAATTAAATTGAAAAAAAAGCTTCCAATACAGATAACATAATATATGCAGCTTGATTTCCTACGTTGAAAAGATGTCAACTGCTTTATCTGCTTCACATTTGCATTATGTGTGCAGCCATGAGTCTGTTTTGTGCCTTTGTGGGTGTAAGATCATGATAGCAAGAGAGTGCAGATGAGGTTTACTGACAAGCCCTCCCTGAAGACCGAGTCAAACATGTGCTGGCTGTGACAGGAGTCCAAACAATGACGTGATCATTGTGACGGGGCCTTACTTATAACGAATAGTGCCACACAATTACAGGCTGTGGCAGCACTCAGCATGCCATTATGACCAGACCAATGACCTGTCATTTGCTGAACAACATCTATTCAGCGGTGGATTGCTACCCATTCAATTTCAGCATCTAATTTTGGAGTGCGACGTTTTCATCATCTGTCAGATCATAGTGCTCTGACAGGATTGTCTGCTGACAGGCGAAACAAACAGTCTAAAGCAGCGCAGCCTTATCCACATCTCACTTACTCACGAGTCATTTATCATTTCCATGTTTTTGTGACAAAAAAAAACAAGATAGATGCCACTGTTTTGATGTTTGTTTATGAAGTGTCAGAGAGTGACAGCATGTACTCATTCAGGGATAGCTCGAGGTGATGAAATTACTCTGCAGGTACAGTCACACTGATTTATATCAGGTATAATAATAAGGTGTGCGAGTGTGTGCGCATGTGTGTGTGTGTTTTGCAGAGAAAAAAAAGAATGGGAGGTTGGAGAGTGTGCGCTACAGTTTTCGTTAACTGTGTGTCCACCTTGGTGGCGTCTATGTGGTCCTGCAGAGAGTCGATGAAGAGATCGCCAACGGGCTCCCAGGCATCTCTGACCCCCTCTGCTTGCTCCAGGGCCCTTGCCAGCTCCTCCATGGCTGCCTGGATTTGCAGAAGACGCTCCAGTGTTCTCTCCATGTGTCTGGAGGGTTTTTGTAAAAATGCAAACCATTGTAATTTGTTAACCAACCAATTTAAATTTTGAACCCCAGTCAGCATGCAATAAAATACTATTCATTTATTGAAAACTATGTCCATAATTATGATTTTTTTTAAATCTGTGAAGTTGTACATTCAAGTCTACAAAAAGTCCACTTTTTCCTAAATAAATAAATGTGTTTTTTTTTTCTTATAACAGATAATGTGCCAAATTGCACAATTAGGTTATAGTAATGTAATATACTGATGCACACGCTTGCAGCCTTGAGAAAAATTATTAATATTTCACTTCAAATGCCTAAGATTCCCAAACATTTTTGCATAGAAATATGCACGTCCTTTTCTGTCATACATCTTTGAGGAGCACTCTCCTATATTTCCCATGGGAACAAATCTGGATTGTAAGCCTTTTCCATCCTTTTCATTCACTAAGATATTTATCAGGTATTGACCTCGATGATGAATCTTGCATCGTCGTTTCTCTCACTAATTCACCGTTCCCCTCAGAACTCTTCTTTTGCAGATGTCCTACTTGGCTTGGCAGAGTACAGCCAGTCAGGGGTGGATGTAGTAGTCAAATCTTACTAATAACACGTGTAATTTGCTCAATTTGCTCATTACGCAGAAAATATGACCATGTGACTTGAACTGCATTCTGTTGAAATCAGATTTTTTTAGAAATAATATGTGTCCTTTTACTTTACTCTTTGGTAAAAGTAAGGGTTAATCCCCTACAAAAGGTACAAGATCAATGTAAAACAAGTCCTGTGACACGTGTGGTCCTCTCATCTCTCTTATCTCTTGGAGCCTTGATATATAATTTAAAAAAGTTTCCAGTAATATTAAATCTTAAGTGTAGAACAATTCAATGGTATCCAAATAATCTCTCAAATAAATGGGATAAAGGAAAACATGCTGGAGTAAATCTTCCTGGTGACACCTACTAGTAGTGTGTAAAGTAAATGTTTGAATCTGAAACAGATTTATGAATATAATCATATGATGCAGTCCAACCTATGCCGGTCCACACAGCGTGCCGTTAGTTTTTCCCACAGGTCACTGGCCACGTTTGCCTGCTTCCATACAGATCGGCTCACATTCAAAATCCGCCGACGGGGAGACACCTCTGTGGGGGGTAGAAGAAGAAGAGGTTAGATTGAGGACAGAAGTACAAATGAGAGGATGATATAATGGTGAAGAAGGGAAAATAACAATGAGCAGATGAAACTGCCATGTTAGGAACCCAGAAAGAATGGTCAAAAGAATCATTTTTTTATTTTAAAATTGAAAATTTTTTGATTTACCAACAAACGTAAAAAAGAGGAGAAAATTAAAAAATTTTAACCAAACTACAGTGGTTAAAGGTGCTTTGTAAAGTCAAACACTGAGAAAAACTTAATGTTGTTATTGATCCGAGCAAACTAAAACCTTTATAGCAGGTAACCTACATCTAATTGGTCCTGACCTGGATCCTTTCCCCAAACTCAGCGTGACTCCAGAGGACAGGTCACTGCTAATAACTAATAATGGAAGACTTCACCTGCATGGGCCCTAACAATTGAGCCCAAGGGTTCGGCTGGGGGTAATGTGCGCGTGACATTTTGGCTGACGCAGAAGCTGGCACGCGGCACGGGAAGAGCGGACCTTTTCCGTCAGTCAGGGTCTCCTCAGGTTCCTGGAAGGGGTGTTGTGCCAGAAAGGCCTGGGCCGATTCCAAGACAGAGTAGATAAAGGGCCCGCGAGACTTGACATCCTCCATAAATGCCTGAGGGGAAACAGAGGAGACAGAATAAATTACAAAAGCTTCCAAACTTGAACCGGTGAATGACACTAATTCATCTCAAATGGATTAAAAGGAGTGCTGCAATCTAATATAAAATTAGAACATGATGTAAATTGAATCAAATATCAAATAGTGCATAATTTTTTAATGTGGCATTCTATGAATGGGGTTATTCTATCCTCTCAGTATCCTACCAGTGCATAACACTGCAGATGAACAGAACTGCACATGCTCTATCACAGGGCAGTAAGAGCAAACTGGACTAGGTTTGTATTTTTCAAGAATGCCCACAGATTCATAAAATTTTCAGATCCCAGACACACAGTAAAGCTCTAAGTGACTTTATCGTCACGCTGTGGTCGACTTTTAATCTTGTTAAAAGTGATTGATTACCAGTAACCGACATCTTGAGCACTTGTTTGTTGCTTTAAGATTTCCAGTTTTATAATACATCATTGAGACGATCATTTTAGAAATGCCAATGATTTTGAAAAATTAATTAAAGTAGAAAGACTTCCATCATAATATGTCTCAACCAATACAAAATGTATTGGCAACTATATTCTACGAGTAAATGTCATTCTTCAGAGAAAAAGAATAACATAAAAGAGGAAACCCTAATATTTTTTATTTACATACTTATTCAGGAACCATTTTCATCTCTATCAAGCCTCAGCAAAGGGTAAAAATGGAGAGGAAGGACTTCAACTTAACTGACACAGTCCTCGTTCATGGTGTGGTTACCATGGTTTCCGAAACCACAGAGAGAAATGATGATACCCGTTGGAAGACACTCACTAGAGTCGGAGATATAAGCAGTAAAGAGATCACCCTGAACCTCCACTCCGTCTCTGCCTCACAAATTGATTCATTAAATAACTAGTCTCCAAACATAAAACGGTTTACACCTGAAGTTAGAATGAAAAAAAAAGTTTTAAAGAATTTTGATGGTGTAGAAAAACTATTTGCAATGTATCTTATTATTTAAAGAAAAATCTGGAACACCAGTCTACTGCTCAATCAAATACGCCAAGCACTGGCAGAAAAAAGCTAAATTTAGACACAGAGCGAAACCTCAACACAAAGTCTTTCGAAATTGATTTGATGAGCGTTGATTATAATGAACTAATCAAACTTTAAATAGATTCCTTTTATACCATTTCTTTTCTCAGAAAGTGGCAGAAAATCTTTGGAATGCATAAAATAAACTCTTTCAGCTTTCAGTTATTTAGCTTTTATTGGAATTTACCTTAGTCAGGTGGTGTTATATATGCAGAGAGGGAGATGATATCCGAATATTACAGAACGCATATAAGGTATGCATTCAACTGTTGCATAACCAGCAAGTGAATTTCATATCATATGTGTGGGTGGCTTCATATGTTGGTTCAGTTTGTTTTTCAGACGTTCTATTGTGAAAGCATATGGTTCTTTTTTCTGGAGCTTCTTAAAAAAAGAGTTATTTGATTCATACTAAAAAATACTGGATGAATCTGCCTGCTTTGTCCAGATGAATAATGTACATTTTTAAGTAACACTTCTCTTGCTAACTACTGCAACCAACAACAGTTTTTCTGGGATTTTCATGACGCTAGGAAAAATAGTTAGTCGTCATTTAGGGTGTTATAAGATTCATGGTTTACTGGAGCTTTACTGAGACAATGTTTCAACACCCAAACATATTACAGTATATTGTGTAAACAATTATTGGTTTTCCTTTTTCTGTTATGAAGAGAAGAACCTTATAATAAACTGGCCAAACCACATTCATGAGGGATGTTTCCATAGTAACTGTTACTGGTAACAATCAATAATCTGACTTAAGAGTAACGTGGCTGTCCAGATCAATCCTAGCTATGTTACCTAACTCCACATTGTTTCCAATCTGTTCCCTCCATGTGTGTGTTCATAGAAGAAATATTTACTCAGTGTATTGTCTAGAATTGGAAAAAAACAATGTAGAAATGTCTACAAACAATAGAGAATCTATCCATAATATAACAATGACAAATGTTTTCTTTTTTTGGTCTAAAATCAGCAAAAACATCATGGCATATAGATGCAGTTTATTTTATATGAACTGAAGAGACGTGGTTAGATATGGTGGCAAAAATGCGATCATGTGTGTAATGCAAAGCACAAGGTGAAAAACACAACCAGGATGATACAAACAAACTCTCTTGATAGATAAAATGAATGTACGTTCACGGGAATCAATTCAATAGATACAGATCCCTTCCTCCCCAGTGTCCTCTCCATGATTTCACCATCTGCTGTCAACTACCAATGCATTGTCTTTGAATCTGCTTTTGCCACTACTCCTGATATTTCTGTCTTACTGTATCGTCTCGGATACACTGGAGTTGGAGTTCAGTATGTGCCCCTGCAGCCATGCCTTTTGTCAACCAAGTAACACTAGCATTTTCAATATTCTTCCATCAGCATTCAAAGCTAGTCCAGTTTATATGCTTCCAATCTCACATTGCCCAAGGTGATCAAGACATGAAACGGTTTGAACTTGCTCAAACCATTTCTTGGCCTTGTCCCGGCCCAACTTTCATTGCCATTCCTCTTCATTTTTTTTTCCAGGATTTAGCCCCTTTGTCTAGACTTGGGGCTGGTTGTGAGGTAGCCGGTTTCTGGGGAGTTTGCATGTTTTCGGTGTATATATGTGTTCTCCCATCGCCTAAAACCATGCATATTAGGTTAACTGATGACTCTAAGTTGCCTTTAGGAGTGACTGCGAGTGTGTGTGGTTGTTTGTCTCTGCGCGGCCTTGTGATGAACTGGCAATCTGTCCATGGTGTATCCCTCTCGTCCAATTACATCTTGCATGAGCTCCTGCCCCCATCGTGACCCTACTAGGACTAAGTGGCGTTGCAAATGGATGGATATTTAATCTATTTTGTAATGAATATTTCTGATGGCTTTGGAACTTTTCATCATATTATCCCAGACATTTAAAAATGGTTCAAGTACAGAGAATAAATAATGATTCATGCTTCATAACCAATGTTTAGATATCTCTGACAAAATTAGTGTGTTGTGTGGAAAAAATAAATTTCTAGTGCAAAATCTCAGGAATAGACTAAATATATGTACACAATCCGATTAGAAGTATGATGCAGCAATATCTGAAATGAATAATACTGCAAAGTACAACATTATCACAGTATATAATGCAATTATAATCGTACATACAGTATATTGCCTGAGTGCCAAAAGCCGCAATTATTCCTTCTGAATTGTATCTGAAGGAAAGCATTCAAATGTTTCATAAATCCATGTTTTCACAGTACAAATCTCAACAAAAAAATATCTGAAAGACACACGGCAAAGCACAACGTGTCTGCCCCTAATTAGGAGTCATCCCAGCACTGTTGCATCACATGATAACAAAGCAGTCAGCATGGCTCTGACAAGGGTTGGGCATGTAGATTGTTTTTTTTTTACTTGAAGAATGATTGGGTGGTTTTCAGACTGTCTTTTTTAAAGTCTCACTAGGCCACACATGAGATCACATGAGCTCTCAAAGCAGTCTCAATGTGTTCGGAGCTCAAGGCACTATAAGGGAGAATCTACAGGGAGATCTGGTCATCTGGTGTCCATGAAGAGAAGTGCCAATTAGCAGTGAGGCCAGCCCTTCTCGACTGCAGCCACTTTCCAGCTTACAGGCGATGAGATCATTGTGTATGAAAGAGCACGCTTATGGACCAGCTTTAACTTTGTGCTTTGCCATTTGGCTGTGTCCCAGAACTTCTTGTGAGCTTCAGGAAAGCCAGTATGTCAACCTTTTCCATTCCTTTACACTAATCTTTGTAGTATATAGAGCACGGCGCCAGTAATATTCCCTCTTCAAAGTAATTTATTTACGTGAAGCCAGCTCTCTCAATCCTCTTACGGTATAAAGAGATTACAATTTCAGCTAAAAATTTACATTAGAAGTTCGAATTAGCCACATTGTAAACCACGGCAGTGTTTCAGAGCCTATTAAAACTCCAGTACCAGGCCCAGCAGGCCTGATAACACAAGCAGAGTTCAACAGAAACCCTCAAACCAAACGCCAACAAACACATGCTGGCACTTAGCTAACAAGCTAAAGTGTGCAACAATGGAAAGCTGGAGCGTGAGATAAGATTCCCTGTGCAACGGTCATGAAGAAAAAGCAACCGTCTGTCCTTCGCCTCCTCTACCCTGACACACTCTCTTCATTCATAAATTTCCCCCTCAATTTCACATTCTCACTTCCTTCCCCTTCTGTAGCCTGGTTTTATTTTTCATCCTCTCCAGCTTGCTATTCTTTCTCTTTAACAGCTTTGCTGCCCAAAGAGGAGCTGAGCCATGGCTTCCCTAAGCCAGCTGTCATGTTAAAACTTTAATTCCAGCTAAATTTCACACTCAGAGGCTTCATCTTTGGTTGGAGGAACATTAAGAGCGGAGCCTTCAGATCAGATTAAGATACATTATGCATTAAGTGGAGAAAAGTCTGGGGGAGGAAATGGCTTCATTGACTTGGTTTAACCATGTTGATGGCTTTCCTTTTACTGCCTCGGGATGCCTCCCTTAAATGTGCTTCTGACAACACAGATGAAGATAAAATTTCATTTTAATTTCTATTTCACATTAAGCGTAGAATATTCTGCAGTGGCATCAAGCACACTCTTTTTTTTTTTCACACCAGTGTCATGTCAATACTCCGGCCCACACAGTTATACCACTGTCATGCTAAAAGATATTCCCATATCCTCTATTAACACCCCGGCGTCACAAAGTGCACACACCCTCACAGACTACAACTAGCACAAGTGTGTGTAGCCTGAACTACACACACATTATGAAAACAGAATAAATCCACTTAAGATCAATAATTCACATGTCTTAAAACGCTTTAATTCTCCATAGAAAACTGGAAGGCAATTTCCCTCTCCTCTTTGTTGGAAAAGTTTTAGTGCAACCAGACGCCTGGGAAGCAGAGGCTTCACAGATTATAAAGCTGTGTGCTGAAAATGGAACAAATGAAAGAGGAGACGAGAGTGGAAGGGAAGGAAGTATGCAAATATGAGGCCATTTTGGAGGCCTGTGCTTCAGTTTTACAGGGGAATGGGGGGAAATTAACCACCGATTTTTATGTTGAAGAAATACCGGGCAGACAGAATGAGAAGAGTCCGGAGGATAAAAGCCAGGAGAGATTATGAGGACAGGATTGAGAAAGAGGACCAGTTCAGCATAATGTCAAGCACCATCTGAGGTGTAAGTTTAAACGAGGTGAAACAGAAGTTGCAAACCTCTCCCTGTCAAGACAAATTGATTTCAAATGAAATGAACAAAATGTCAGCTAGGAAAATGGGAGAGAAGGTAGAATGGGAAAACAGTGTTGTGGTTACACAAGCAATTACACAAATTTGTGAACGTAAACTGCTGTGTGTACGTGTATGTGTGTGCGACCATACCAGTAATAAGACAGCAAACTTGAACCTGAGCTCATTTAAAGACATATAAAAGAATTGTTTGGGAATTTCAGGTTGTGCTTCTCCAAAAAAAACACCACTCAAAACAGTTAAAAACAACAAAAAGTGTATTTAATATGAAGCAGCCATGCTGTGTGAGGCAGCTGCAAATCTTTCTTGTTGTTTGAAGTTGCTGACAATCTGGATAATAGTTAGCATTAAGACAAACAAACCCGCATCCACAGACGCACACGTGTCCGCCTGCTGGGCATTGTCTATGCCAAGTTTCTGAGTGTCCCCAAACACAGGCCTGCAAAATCTTTCATTTAAAAAAAACAAGAGACTTTCTTTCCTTTAAGACACAGTGGGGTTTCTGCTGCTTTTGCACCACTGGGTATCGCTACCACACAGAAAAAAGTACTCTTTTGAACTCTTGAAAATAGTATTTAACTTTTTAGTGGTACATTTGGATTCTAAAGAGATCAAAAACTGGATTCAAATACAGTCAGTGTTACAATGATTTAATGCATAACTATGCTGTTGTAAATGTTTTGAATGAACCTGACATCAGAAATACTTTAATACTTTAATAATCCCAGAGGGAAATTATTTAAATGCTCGATGGTTTGCTAGATAGATCTTCTTAGAGGTATACTTTCCAGAGAAAGTGGGTGAGAGAAAATGCGTAGAGCTTTGTTTATCATATCACAGCATCAGTATTACCATAACCATAGCAAAACGACAACTCCAGAAAGGCTAAGGTCAAGCATCAATTACCAGGACTTGGGAAGTTGTGTAAAATGATCTGCATCGGGAACAGTCTCACAATAGTAGGATGGCACAAACCAAAACGGTCTACCCTACATTAAAGAGCTAAGTTTGCTAAGTTTGATGTGCTTTGTTGTCAAGACTCCTAGTAATTCCTATAAGTGCTGTTTTATATTAACTCTCATTAAGTACAGTCGCTGACAACAATCTAGAACAACTGGTATTTCATAAAGAGTTAACAATAGAGATGGACAACTTCAAAGAATAATTAGATAATGCTTAATTATCTCTTAGCCACATAGTTCAAGTAATTAGTTAGTGTACAGAAACACAAGTGTCTGACACTCTTTCTCACTTGCCTGCAGTAAAAAATACACACATTTGTGATGGGTAAGTTCTGCTCAAAACTGACAGCAAAATATTCCAATTTTCTGAAGTTTATCCCAGCTGTCACTGGACGAGAGGCCGGGTACAGAGTGAGCCGCTCACCAGTCCAAATAGCTAAATTAGACTTTTATATGACGGAACAATAACCACAAAACAAAACAAAAAAATCACCAAAATAATAAGAAAATTCATTCCATCTGCAGTATTTCAATCTTTTTGGATGACATTTTGTATTATCTTCACTTTTCCTTCTAGGAGATGAGCAAAGTTCTTAACTTTATAACTTTGCAGGTGGAAACGGTAAAACCTGCCGATAGGCTTTAAACGCCGTTCACCGGGAGCAGCTGGTCATTGAAGATGGCGTGAAATATATTTTAAACAGGCTATTAAATTTCTATGGTACGGACCTATAAAATATGCAACTGGACAAAAATCACCCTAAGACAGGATGTGCAAACCAAAAGGAAAAGTCACCGAAACGGGCCGGTCTGTTATCAAAAAGAGGAAATGTAATTGACAGTGCAAATGAACTGCTGCCACTTAAGCATCTGGCTCTGCAGAATTTATTGAAAACCAGTGATTCATTTTAATTGATTGAGCCCTAATTCTTTTCTTTGTTGTCTATATCAGGTTAAATTAATCTTATGACCAGATAAACACTTATTTGTGTCACTGATTAATAAAAATGTTGCTCTTCGAGTATATGAGGTGGGGTGCCCTTGAAGAAATTAAAAGGCCAGTTTAAATCATTCAGCAGTGTTGGGATCATTTGAGCATAGATTATGTTTCTGTCAGTAACTCTCCTTGATGTTCCCTTTTGAATTCAAGCTGACGGAAAAAACATCCCAATCACCTTAACACCAGTAAACCCCTTTTATCGGGGTGTTTATTCATAACCATCGAGTGTTACTTGTTGCTTACAAAGAGATGAATACTAATGCTCAAGTGGCTCATTGTTAATGAAAGCATAAATTTACATAAGAATCACGTAAGCCTTTTCAAAATAATGTCTGCACTGGGTTCAATCAGAGTTTGTGTGCGTGTAGCTCATTGTCCAGATTCTGCTAATCCCCTTGCTCACAGCAGTAAACAATTATATCAACATGCCTGATTAAGTAAAGACATTAGAATATAAACTTGCATGTACATTTTCTTGATTCCAAATATGCGAACATTTAGTACAGTTTAATGGAGACCAAAATGGGCATCATCATTATTTTTAGGAGCTACAATTCTTTTTCTAGATGTTCCAAACTGTTTCAACGTAAAGTGCGGGTCATGTCTTGAAAAGCCAACCGAGCGTCCCCTCATTTGACCCTCTCACTCACCAGGAAAGCTCTCATTTCTAGGTACTCAACCTCAGCCTCAGCCTCAAAGAGCGTGCCCTGGTTTCCCTTTTTTTGTGCAAAATGACTCTTGCTCTTGTGCCACTCAATCAAGCTCTTTATGTCACTTCTAGTCTAGGCCTTCACTTAAGAAAAAATTGTCATTGAAGACCTTATCAGCGGCTAAGGCTAGTTTCTGTCATTACGCAGAAAGCTGAGCTAAATGTCTGGAGTATATGAACATTTTTCATCGTTATTATAATGCCAAAAGTTAGATTTGGTACTATTATTTGGTACTAAGAAGAAGTATGGTTTGATACCCGATTGGATGCCAAAGTTCCAACCTGAAATACCTCCAGGCACCTTTAGATCATGTAAATATACATGATGAATGTCCCTTGAAAAGGATTAAGGATCATATACATGTAATGCTTATGCACTGTACTGGGGATGCTTAAGTTTAAAGACTCAGACAACTGTTGCAAAGAACGATAAATACATTGGTATCATATTCATTGAAAAGGGTTAGGGTTCTACCTGATGGAACTCCCTCTGGTGCTGGACAGCCCCCACGTCCCCTCCTATGGGCAGCTGTTCCGACAGCTCCTCGTCCTTGGCTGTCAGCCATTCTATGATCTCCTGCAGAGAGAGCTGTAGCTTCCCGCTGTTGTCAGAGAAGGCTTCTAGCCGGGCCCTGCAACACACACAGAGTTGACTTAGCCAACACACCCAAATGCATGCATGTGGTCATTACATCTCACTGAATGGCACTATCTTTGATTAAAAAAATCTTTGATAAGATTCAAAGCAATCATCAAAAGATGGGGTTTTTTTTCAGAATTACACCCCTTGCTTGGATTTCAATCATGCTAAAATTTAGTAATCTTTAAGAGGAGCACAGAAGCAAGACACTGTAATCTGGGTAAAAATGGCATGTTAAATCATATTCAAATATCTAAATGCTTTTTCAGCGTGACAAATTTGAGATTCACCCAAACTTTTGCAAAGAATTTTGTGCTTCTTGCTGTTTTATATGTGGCCCGTGTTGCTGCATCTCTGAAAACTAAAATGTTAAGTGTGTAACAAATTACATTAGAGGTGGAACACAAGTATATCTGAGATGCCAGGAAATAACAAATAGCATCAGCTAAAATGGAACTTTCAGGTAGAATCTATCAAAATGCTAACTGTGACAGATGTGTTGGCGTACGCTGAGCAGGGAAAGGTGAGACAGCTTCTCGGCTGATTACCGAAGGTTTTCTTCATACCACCTGCCAGCTGTGTAAGAGATTTGGGAATCTGTGGCATAACTGGCACGGCTGGGATGAGGGCATCGTGAAAGCTTTTGCATATTTCAATTACACACATCATGGCCCTGCACTCAAACATCACCTTTAACATTATCTATGCACATCACAATTTGCCAACACGTCAAATCAAAGATGATGAGTGGAGATGTGCTTTTTAAATTTGTTTTGGTTGTCTGAATTTGTACTCTCATGGCAGTGAAATAAAGCACTTAGAGGTTTTAAATGAAATCCGAAAAGACACAAGGTTAACTTTTGTTGGGCTCTAAATACTGATCTGTTCCTCTCAACCTCATCATTAACATGGTACCATTAGCAATGCCATGTTAGTGACTGAGAAAAAGAACTGCGAGGCAATTTCCTCCTAATTGAATTTGGCACAGATTTGTTCTGACATGAGGAATTAGGTATCACTTCAGGGATGCCAGTTCCAGCAAGGCATGTTCAAAAAGCTTTGCGCTTTGAAGATGGAAAAAAAACTGAGGAAGGAAGAATCAAGTCTGTAAGACTGCATTACAGAATTTATAGGCCTCTTTTCCTTTTTTATTTTAGCCAAAAAGCCTGAGGAGGCGAACCACGACGTCCCTCAGCCTCCTGCTGCCCCTTCAGCTCTGCTCAGTGTGGTAATCGAATCAGAGGAGGACAGTTTTTCTGTGGCCTCAGCAGAACAGCCTTCCCATCCATAACAGGTGTGAAAACGCACCCATATAAGCAACACACACATTTTACATTAATATAGAAAGGTTTTCTATTTTCCAAGTCAGAGCAAAACACCAGCTCTCGATAGGTCTGCGTTAGGTCGTCCATCACAGGATGACCCTTGCACTTTTTTCGCAAAGAGGCTTCAAAATGCATCACAACAGACAGCAGACACTCACACCAGAAACGAGGAGAACACACATACACACACAGCTCACAGTACACTCGCCGGTCACTGCTGCTTCCATTACGCACACACAGTGGGAGAGACAAATAGAGCACTGCTTGTGTTGTAATGGAATTTTAGCCACATGACAGGTGCTGCCAGGAAGAACTCCTGGCCTGCCAAGCTGTAGGTAGGCAAGGCTAAAGGTCCACTGGTATGTGGGAAGCAGGATGACAACATTATTAAAACAGGGAGATGCCAAGAAGATTCCATACAAGAAGAAAGCAGAATTTTTCTAGATTTAGAGACACGTTTAAATTCATAAATGTTATTGTTCCTGCTGCTCTTCATCTCATATCAAAAACAAATAAGCAGGGAACACAACCCTGGAAATTATTATCAGTTATTATCATTCGTGTATAATTTAAGAATTCCCATTTTCTCTCATGTGTGTATCTTTTAATGGTTAGCTAAAATTGTGCATCAATCTGCTTTGTAAATCAAAATACCATCAGTATAGAATACTACATATATATATATACACATATAAATGAATATTCTATATATAGAATAGTAAAGCATGATGCCATCTCTTTTAACTCTGTACTTGTATGACTATTTCCAGGGGTTATCATAAAAGAGAAACTGAAATATTGAAAGCTAAAAATTGCTTTCAAATGCTGCTGTTTAATTTGCGGGAATGCTTCAGAAGGGCCAGTTTGTAACCATTTGTTACTATCATATATTTCCATTTATTTCGTTGATTGTTTTGGAAACTTTTTGTCTTTCAATAAGATTTGTTGCTGGATGTAAATGAATGTCCTCCCAGGTCTATAAATGGAGACAGGTGTATTGTGTGAGTTAGATGACTCATCCCTGTATGCCCTCAGAATATTTGGAGGTGGGTCTACTTCCCTAAATCTTTTTGGGTGTCATCTTAGAATAATTTTGACAAGAGAACTCGTGTCTGTGTGAGAATAACATAGAGGGAAAAACTGTGTGCAGAAGGTTGGTTCAGGTGTGTGCGTTTTTGTGTGTGTTTTTCTGTATCTAGCTGCTCAATAAGAGCCAAAAGGCTTGATGACAATACCACAACTAATCAATACTAAAGTGCTAATGGCGGAATGAACACCGTCATCTGTTTGCAACAACAACACTGAGATTGAAAGTCATTCAGCTTCACCAAATAGCTGGTCATTCATTACACAGCACAACAATCTGACCACTATCCTGATGCAGTGCACAGTCAAAGCGTTCTTTCCAACAAGGGTTTTGTTTTTTTCTGAAAAGCACAGGGACCACAGATGTAGGGTTTGAATGACTGAGTGTTGAATTGTTTATTATTTTTTTGTTACATAACTGGGTAACACTTTATTTGAAGGGGTGTGCAAAAGAGTGACATGACACTGTGATAAAGCATGAAGAAAATTTCCACTGTTTTGATTGGCCAAGAGCTGTCGCTGACCCTCCCCTACTTTGCAGGGTCTCTGTAGCTCGATTAAATTTAAACCACAATGAAAGCACGAGAAAAGTTTTTCTAAGTCTTTGGTTTTGGATTTTTCTTTTAAGGTTTCTTGAACTTATGTAGTAATTTTTTTTATGGTCTTAATCTTTCTTTGTTAGATCTCTGGACTTTCTTTAAGTTTGTGAGTTGCTCTCTTCAGTTTGCCCTTTCTTTGCTCTCGTTGTTTACTTCCAAGGCTCAACTTGCGCTTTGTTTTTGGTTTGATTCATCCTGCCTTGTCTCACTTCAGTTGTGTTGGTTCACATCCCCACACTTGTTCCTGTTTCCTATTGTTCTCCTTGTCTGCTCCACTCCCTTCACCTGTGTAATTGTCGGCAGCTGCCACCTCTCAGTGATCATCACTCCTCCGTATTTAAGTCCCCGGTTGTTTCAATCCTTGCCAGATCCTCACTGTCGTTTTGCCCCTGGTTTTTGTCTTCGACCTGCTTATAAATTCTCTTCATTGTCTGGGTTTTGTGAGATTTGTATTATGATGCTTCCAGATTTTACAGGGACTTTAGTTCTTGTCTTGAAAACATTCAATTACTTTCTTCCTAAACCTCCCACAACTCATTTCTCCATTTGGATTGTCTCACTAACTCTCACACCTGCTGACAAAAAGAGGCACAATTTTATTGAATGCTAAGCTGAAACACTTATCAGTCAAGTGAAGAAATCTGTTTCTTTAATATCCTCAGTTTCGGAATTACAAACAGAGCCAAAACTGCTGAAATGAAAAATACCAGACAGAAAACATCCAATCTCCTCAAACTGTGTTGAAAAGTCAAACAACCGACAGTGTGAACTTTTAGTTCGTTGTACAGTTTAACGTACCAAAAGTTCTTTGACGCATTTGGTGGGAATCTGAAAAACTCTAGCTTTATTAATTCCTGGAATTAGCTTCATGCAAATAATTCACAAAACATAAAATATTCCACCCCCCATTAGGGAGGCTGATCCTGGACGTGAATGTGAATACACAGATTTCTGCAGCAGCTGAAGAAACAGCCAACATCTGTGCAAACGGTACTGAATTAATATCAGCTCATCAGTTTGTTGCTTTGTAGAAGAATCCTAATTGCATTGTTGTGGGTGGAAATATAAAATCACACGCTTGTTAAACAAACCTTGAGCTTTGAATTCATTGTAACTCTTCTCAAATGTGAAAAATACCCTGATTGTTAACTGCATTTGTGTCTCTGCGCGTTTTGACAATTGTGATCCAAAGTAAATAATATGCTAAAAATTCAAATCCCCACTCGATAAGATAGGTTACACAGAGAGCTTAGCACTGGATGATTAATCATTGCAGCAAGATTTGAGCAGCGTTTCGGCTGTTTTAGGAGCAAGGAGCTTGCTCGTGTGTAGCTCCGGGGCTCAGAGGAGCTTTGAGCACTGCCCTCACTCTGTGTGCATTTCTTTTTCTGTTGCGGGGATATTGCAAAGATTGGCAAAGAAATGTATGACAGCCTCCATCTCTGCATTTTCTTGCAAGAATATGCATGAAAAACATTGTATTTTTTGTTTTGTTTTTTCTTCCGCACTATCTCAAGGAAAGTAAAACTCTGAGAGAATCAAACCAAAATAATTCAATTGATCATATTATGTAACCATTAGAAAGTGAGCTATGTTTAAGTCCACGTTTGTTGATCATGAATGCCTTGTTTCTATCCTGTCCCTTTCACGTGCAGCATCTTCCTACATAAACGTGACTTTAATGTAAACAGAAGCTTTGTGCAAGTTGTTTAATCAAAGCTTTCCTCCAGCTAACCGATTCATGACTTTGGATATTTTCATGATGGAGCCAATTCTTTACACCTAATAAACAATTCCATAGTACCCAATCATTTATTAGCCCCACAGATCAACTACAAAGCTGAGTTCAGTATACATAATGTTCTTTTTTAATCTTTTGTGGAGTTTCTTTCTAAGCCCTGACCACAGATTTAGCTGTTTAAGGTATTTGGGATCCAAATTTTAGACTAAAACTACCAGGCATGTGATTAAATGATACGTGAAAG